TTTCTTGGGCGACGAAAGGCCATTTTCTTTTGGATATTGAAGGCTACAGATCACGGATTCGGCATGAGGCTATTCTACGACGATGATTGAGTCCATTAAGCACCGATCTGGGCGGATATATTCCGGGTCAATTTTTGGCAGATTCCAAAGGGGTACCATCACAGATTACGGGTGATTTATCTGAAATGTCTTTTTCTTTCCATTCTGGAGGCTACAGATATCAGAATCAGGTTGAGGCTATTCTCCACCGATAATGAAGTCTATTGATCCTATTCTCCACGGATGATAAGACGTTAAGCATCGATCTAACCCAATTTATTTTCGGATGGCATTTTCGTAATTTCTAGGGCGACGAAAGGCCATTTTCTTTTGGATATTGAAGGCTACAGATCACGGATTTGGCCTGAGGCTATTATCCAACGATGATTGAGTCCATTAAGCATCGATTTGGGCGGATTTATTCTGGGTCAATTTTTAGCAAATTCCAAAGGGGTACCATCACAGATTTCGGGCGATTTATCCGAAATGTCATTTTCTTTCGATTCTGGAGGCTACAGATATCAGAATCAGGTAGAGGCTATTCTCCACCGATAATGAAGTCTATTGATCCTATTATCCACGGATGATAAGTCCCTTAAGCATTGATTTGGGCCAATTTATTTTCGGATGGCATTTTCGTAATTTCTTGGGCGACGAAAGGCCATTTTCTATGGATATTGAAAGCTACAGATTACGGATTCGGCCTGAAGCTATTCTACAACGATTATTGAGTCCATTAAGCACTTATTTTTGCGGATTTATTCCGGGTCAATTTTTGGCAGATTCCAAAGGGGTACCATCACAGATTTCGGCCGATTTATCCGAAATACCATTTTGTTTCGATTCTGGAGGCTACAGATCACGGAATCTGGCCGAGACTATTCACCACCGATAATGAAGTCTATTGATCCTATTCTCTATGGATGATAAGTCCGTTGAGCATCGATTTGGGCCAATTTATTTTCGGATGGCATTTTCGTAATTTCTTGGACGACGAAAGGCCATTTTCTTTTGGATATTGAAGGTTACAGATCACGGATTCGTCCTAAGGCTATTCTCCAACGATGATATAGTCCATTAAGCACCCATTTGGGGGGGATTTATTCCGGGTAAATTTTTGGCAGATTCCAAAGGGGTACCATCACATATTTCGGGCGATTTATCTTAAATGTCATTTTCTTTCGATTCTGGAGGCTACAGATATCGGAATCAGGTAGAGGCTATTCTCCACCGATAATGAAGTCTATTGATCCTATTCTCCACGGATGATAAGTTCGTTAAGCATCGACTTGGGCCAATTTATTTTCGGATGGCATTTTCGTAATTTCTTAGGGGACGAAAGGCCATTTTCTTTGGATATTGAAGGCACAGATCACGGATTCCGCCTGAGGCTATTCTACAACGATTATTGAGTCCATTAAGCACTTATTTAGGCGAATTTATTCCGGTTCAATTTTTGGCAGATTCCAAAGGGGTAGCATCACAGATTTCGACCGATTTATCCGAAATACAATTTTGTTTCGATTCTGGAGGCTACAGATCACGGAATCAGGCCGAGGCTATTCACCACCGATAATAAAGTCTATTGATCCTATTCTCCACGAATGATAAGTCCGTTAAGCATCGATTTGGGCCAATTTATTTTCGGATGGCATTTTCGTAATTTCTTGGGCGACGAAAGGCAATTTTCTTTGGATATGGAAGGCTACAGATCACGAATTCGGGCTGAGGCTATTCTCCTACGATGATTGATTCCATTAAGCACCGATTTGGGCGGATTTATTCTGGGTCAATTTTTGGCAGATTCCAAAGGGGTACCATCACAGATTTCGGGCGATTTATCTTAAATGTCATTTTCTTTCGATTCTGGAGGCTACAGATATCGGAATCCGGTAGAGGCTATTCTCCACCGATAATAAAGTCTATTGATCTTATTCTCCACGGATGATAAGTCCGTTAATCATCGACTTGGGCCAATTTATTTTCGGATGGCATTTTCGTAATTTCTTGGGCGACGAACGGCCATTTTCTTTGGATATTGAAGGCACAGATCACGGATTCGGCTTGAGGCTATTCTCCAACGATTATTGAGTCCATTAAGCACCGATTTGGTTGGATTTATTCAGGGTCAATTTTTGGCATATCCAATGGGGTACCATCACAGATTTCGGCCGATTTATTCGAAATGTTATTTTCTTTCTATTCTGGAGGCTACAGATCACGGAATCAGGCCGAGGCTTTTCTCCACCGATAATGATGTCTATTGATCCTATTCTCCACGGATGATAATTCCGTTAAGCATCGACTTGGGCCAATTTATTTTCGGATGGCATTTTCGTAATTTCTTAGGCGACGAAAGGCCATTTTCTTTGGATATTGAAGGCACAGATCAAGGATTCGGCCTGAGGCTATTCTACAACGATTATTGAGTCCATTAAGCACTTATTTTGGCGGATTTATTCCGGGTCAATTTTTGGCAGATTCCAAAGGGGTACCATCACAGATTTCGGCCGATTTATCCGAAATACCATTTTGTTTCGATTCTGGAGGCTACAGATCACGGAATCAGGCCGAGGCTATTCTCCACCGATAATGAAGTCTATTGATCCTATTTTCCACTGATGATAAGTACGTTAAGCATCGATTTTAGCCAAATTATTTTCGGATGGCATTTTCGTAATTTCCATGGCGACGAAAAGACATTTTCTATGGATATTGAAGGCTACAGATCACGGATTTGGCCTGAGGCTATTCTCCAACAATGATGGGGTCGATTAAGCACCGATTTGGGCGGATTAATTCCGGGCCAATTTTTGGCAGATTCCAAAGGGGTACCATCACAGATTTCGGACGATTTATCTGAAATGCCATTATCTTTCTATTCTGGAGGCTACAGATCACGGAATCAGGCCGAGGTTTTTCTCCACCGATAATGAAGTCTATTGATCCTATTCTCCACAAATGATAAGTCCGTTAAGCATCGATTTGGGCCAATTTATTTTTGGATGCATTTTCGTAATTTCTTGGGCGACGAAAGGCAATTTTCTATGGATATTGAAGGCTACAGATCACGGATTCGGCCTGAGGCTATTCTCCAACGATGATTGAGTCCATTAAGCACCGATTTGGGCGGATTTATTCTGGGTCAATTATTGGCAGATTCCAAAGGGGTACCATCACAGATTTCGGGCGATTTATCCGAAATGCCATTTTCTTTCGATTCTGGAGGCTACAGATCACGGAATCAGGCTGAGGCTATTATCCACCGATAATGAAGTCTATTTATCCTATTCTCCACGGATGATAATTCCGTTAAGCATCGACTTGGGCCAATTTATTTTCGGATGACATTTTCGTAATTTCTAGGGCGACGAAAGGCCATTTTCTTTGGATATTGATGGCTACAGATCACGGATTCGGCCTGAGGCTATTCTACAACGATTATTGAGTCCATTAAGCACCGATTTGGGCGGATTTATCTGAAATGCCATTTTCTTTCTATTCTGGAGGCTACAGATCACGGAATCCGGCCGAGGCTTTTCTCCATCGATAATGAAGTCTATTGATCCTATTCTAAACGGATGATAAGTCTGTTAAGCATCGATTTGGGCCAATTTATTTTTGGATGGAATTTTTGTAATTTCTTGGGCGACGAAAGGCCATTTTCTTTGGATATTGATGGCTACAGATCACGGATTCGGCCTGAGGCTATTCTCCAACGATGATTGAGTCGATTAAGCACCGATTTGGGCAAATTTATTCCCCATCATAGTTTTCAGCCGATTTATCTGAAATGCCATTTTCTTTCTATTCTGGAGGCTACAGATCACGAAATCAGGCCGAGGCTTTTCTCCACCGATAATGAAGTCTATTGATCCTATTCTCCACGGATGATAAATCCGTTAAGCATCGACTTGGGCCAATTTATTTTCGGATGACATTTTCGTAATTTCTAGGGCGACGAAAGGCCATTTTCTTTAGATATTGAAGGCACAGATCACGGATTCGGCTTGAGGCTATTCTACAACGATTATTGAGTCCATTAAGCACCGATTTGGGCGGATTTATCTGAAATGCCATTTTCTTTCTATTCTGGAGGCTACAGATCACGGAATCCGGCCGAGGCTTTTCTCCACCGATAATGAAGTCTATTGATCCTATTCTAAACGGATGATAAGTCTGTTGATCATCGATTTGGGCCACTTTATTTTCGGATGGCATTTTCGTAATTTTTTGGGCAACGAAAGGCAATTTTCTTTTGGATATTGAAGGCTACAGATCACGGATTCGGCCTGAGGTTATTCTCCAACGATGATTGAGTCCATTAAGCATCGATTTGGGCGGATTTATTCCGGGTCAATTTTTGGCAGATTCCAAAGGGGTACCATCACAGATTTCGGGCGATTTATCCGAAATGCCATTTTCTTTCTATTCTGGAGGCTACAGATCACGGAATAAGGCCGAGGCCTTTCTCCACCGATAATGAAGTCCATTGATCTTATTCTCCACGGATGATAAGTCCGTTAAGTATCGACTTGGGCCAATTTATTTTCTGACGGCATTTTCGTAATTTCTTGGGCGACGAAAGGCCATTTTCTATGGATATTGAAGGCACAGATCACGGATTCGGCCTGAGGCTATTCTCAAACAATTATTGAGTCCATTAAGCACTAATTTGGGTGGATTTATTCCGGGCCAATTTTTGGCAGATTCCAAAGAGGTACCATCACAGCTTTCGGCCGATTTATCCGAAATAACATTTTGTTTCGATTCTGGAGGCTACAGATCACGGAATCAGGCCGAGGCTATTCACCACCGATAATGAAGTCTATTGATCCTATTCTCCACGGATGATAAGTCCGTTAAGCATCGATTTGGGCCAATTTATTTTCAGATGGCATTTTCGTAGTTTCTTGTGCGACGAAAGGCCATTTTCTTTGGATATTGAAGGCTACAGATCACGGAATCGGCCTGAGGCTATTCTCCAACGATGATTGATTCCATTAAGCATTGATTTAGGCGGAATTATTCTGGGTCAATTTTTGGCAGATTCCAAAGGGGTACCATCACAGATTTCGGACGATTTATCCGAAATGCTATTATCTTTCGATTCCGGAGGCTACAGATCACGAAATCAAGCCGAGGCTTTTCTCCACTGATAATGAAGTCTATTGATCCTATTCTCCACGGATGATAAGTCCGTTAAGCATCGATTTGGGCCAATTAATTTTCGGATGGCATTTTCGTAATTTCTTAGGCTACGAAACGCCATTTTCTTTTGGATATTGAAGGCTACAGATCACGGATTCGGCTTGAGGCTATTCTCCAACGATTATTGAGTCCATTAAGCACTAATTTGGGCGGCTTTATTCCGGGTCAATTTTTGGCAGATTCCAAAGGGGTCCATCACAGATTTCGGTAAATTTATCCAAAATGCCATTTTCTTTCGATTCCGGAGGCTACAGATCACGAAATCAGGTCGAGGCTATTCTCCACCGATAATGAAGTCTATTGATCCCATTCTAAACGGATGATAAGTCTGTTAAGCATCGATTTGGGCCAATTTATTTTTGGATGGCATTTTTGTAATTTCTTGGGCGACGAAAGGCCATTTTCTTTGGATATTGATGGCTACAGATCACGGATTCGGCTTGAGGCTATTCTACAACGATTATTGAGTCCATTAAGCACCGATTTGGGCGAATTTATTCCAGGCCAATTTTTGGCAGATTCCAAAGGGGTACCATCATAGTTTTCAGGCGATTTATCTAAAATGCCATTTTCTTTCTATTCTGGAGGCTACAGATCACGAAATCATTCCGAGGCTTTACTCCACCGATAATGAAGTCTGTTGATCCTATTCTCCATGGATGATAAGTCCGTTGAGCATCGATTTGGGCCAATTTATTTTCGGATGACATTTTCGTAATTTCTTGGGCGATGAAATGCCATTTTCTTAGGATAATGAAGGCTACAGATCACGGATTCGGCCTGAGGCTATTCTCCAACGATGATTGAGTACATTAAGCACCGATTAGGGCGGATTTATTACAGGTCAATTTTTTGCAGATTCCAAAGGGGCAGCATCACAGATTTCGGGCGATTTATCCGAAATGCCATTTTCTATCGATTCTGGAGGCTACAGATCACGGAATCAGGCCGAGGCTTTTCTCCACCGATAATGAAGTCTATTGATCCTATTCTCCATGGATGATAAGTCCGTTGAGCATCGATTTGGACCAATTTATTTTCGGATGGCATTTTCGTAATTTCTTGGGTGACGAAAGGCCATTTTCTTTTGGATATTGAAGGCTACAGATCACGGATTCGGCCTGAGGTTATTCTCCAACGATGATTGAGTCCATTAAGCACCGATTAGGGCGGATTTATTCCGGGTCAATTTTTGGCAGATTCCAAAGTGGTACCATCACAGATTTTGGGCGATTTATCCGAAATACCATTTTCTTTCGATTCTGGGGGCTACAGATCACGGAATCATGCCGAGGCTTTTCTCCACCGATAATGAAGTCTATTGATCCTATTCTCCATGGATGATAAGTCCGTTGAGCATCGATTTAGGCCAATTTATTTTCGGATGACATTTTCGTAATTTCTTGGGCGACGAAAGGCCATTTTCTTTGGATATTGAAGGCTACAGATCACGGATTCGCCCTGAGGCTATTCTCCAATGATGATTGATTCCATTAAGCACCGATTTAGGCGGATTTATTCAGGTTCAATTTTTGGCAGATTCCAAAGAGGTACCATCACAGCTTTCGGCCGATTTATCCGAAAAAACATTTTGTTTCGATTCTGGAGGCTACAGATCATGGAATCAAGCCGAGGCTATTCACCACCGATAATGAAGTCTATTGATCCTATTCTCCACGGATGATAAGTCCGTTAAGTATCGATTTAGGCCAATTTATTTTCGGATGGCATTTTCGTAATTTCTTGTGCGACGAAAGGCCATTTTCTTTGGATATTGAAGGCTACAGATCACGGATTCGGCCTGAGGCTATTCTCCAACGATGATTGATTCCATTAAACATCGATTTAGGAGGAATTATTCTGGGTCAATTTTTGGCAGATTCCAAAGGGGTACCAACACAGATTTCGGACGATTTATCTGAAATGCTATTATCTTTCGATTCTGGAGGCTACAGATCACGGAATCAAGCCGAGGCTTTTCTCCACTGATAATGAAGTCTATTGATCCTATTCTCCACGGATGATAAGTCCGTTAAGCATCGATTTGGGCCAATTTATTTTCGGATGGCATTTTCGTAATTTCTTAGGCGACGAAAGGCCATTTTCTTTTGGATATTGAAGGCTACAGATCACGGATTCGGCTTGAGGCTATTCTCCAACGATTATTGAGTCCATTAAGCACTAATTTGGGCGGATTTATTCCGGGTCAATTTTTGGCAGATTCCTAAGGGGTCCGTCACATATTTCGGTAAATTTATCCAAAATGCCATTTTCTTTCGATTCCGGAGGCTACAGATCACGGAATCAGGCCGAGGCTATTCTCCACCGATAATGAAGTCTATTGAACCTATTCTAAACGGATGATAAGTCTGTTAAGCATCGATTTGGGCCAATTTATTTTTGGATGGCATTTTCGTAATTTCTTGGGCGACGAAAGGCCATTTTCTTTGGATATTGAAGGCTACAGATCACGGATTCGGCCTGAGGCTATTCTCCAACGATGATTGAGTCAATTAAGCAACGATTTTGGCGAATTTATTCCGGGCCAATTTTTGGCAGATTATAAAGGTGTACCATCACAGATTTCGGCCGATTTATCCGAAATGCCATTTTCTTTCTATTCTAGAGGCTACAAATCACGGAATCAGGCCGAGCCTTTTCTCCACCGATAATGAAGTCTATTGATCCTATTCTCCACAAATGATAAGTCCGTTAAGCATCGATTTGGGCCAATTTATTTTCGGATGGCATTTTCGTAATTTCTTGGGCGGCGAAAGGCCATTTTCTATGTATATTGAAGTCTACAGATTACGGATTCGACCTGAGGCTATTCTCCAACCATGATTGAGTCCATTAAGCACCGATTTGGGCGGATTTATTCCGGGTCAATTTTTTGCAGATTCCAAAGGGGTATCACAAATTTCGGCCGATTTATCCGAAATGCCATTTTCTTTCGAATCTGGAGGCTACAGATCACGGAATCAGGCTGAGGCTATTCTCCACCGATAATGAAGTCTATTGATCCTATTCTCCATGGATGATAAGTCCGTTGAGCATCGATTTGGGCCAATTTATTTTTGGATGGCATTTTCGTAATTTCTTGGGCGACGAAAGGCCATTTTCTTTTGGATATTGAAGGCTACACATCACGGGTTCGGACTGAGGCTATTCTCCAACGATGATTGAGTCCATTAAGCACCGATTTGAGCGGATTTATTCCGGGTTAATTTTTGGCTGATTCCAAAGGGGTACCATCACAGATTTCGGTCGATTTATTCGAAATACCATTTTCTTTCGATTCTGGAGGCTACAGATCAGGAATCAAGCCGAGGCTTTTCTCCACCGATAATGAAGTCTATTGATCCTATTCTCCACTGATGATAAGTCCGTTAACCATCGATTTGGGCCAATTTACTTTTGGATGGCATTTTCGTAATTTCTTGGGCGACGAAAGGCCATTTTCTTTGGATATTGAAGTCTACAGATCACAGATTCAGCCTGAGTTTATTCTCCAACTATGATTGAGTCGATTAAGCACCGATTTGAGCGGATTTATTCCGGGCTAATTTTTGGCAGATTCCAAAGGGGTACCATCACAGATTTCGGGCGATTTATCTAAAATGCCATTTTCTTTCTATTCTGGAGGCTACAGATCACGGAATCAGGCCGAGGCTTTTCTCCACTGATAATGAAGTCTATTGATCCTATTCTCCACGGATGATAATTCCGTTAAGCATCGATTTGGGCCAATTTACTTTTGGATGGCATTTTCGTAATTTCTTGGGCGACGAAAGGCCATTTTCTATGTATATTGAAGGCTACAGATTACGGATTCGGCCTGAGGCTATTCTCCAACCATGATTGAGTCCATTAAGCACCGATTCGGGCGGATTTATTCCGGGTCAATTTTTGGCAGATTCCAAAGGGGTACCATCACAGATTTCGGCCGATTTATCCGAAATGCCATTTTGTTTCGATTCTGGAGGCTACAGATCACGGAATCAGGACGAGGCTATTCTCCACCGATAATGAAGTCTATTGATCCTATTCTCCACGGATGATAAGTCTGTTAAGCATCGATTTGGGCGAATTTATTTTCGGATGGCATTTTCGTAATTTCTTGGGCGACGAAAGGCCATTTTCTATGTATATTGAAGGCTACAGATTACGGATTCGGCCTGAGGCTATTCTCCAACCATGATTGAGTCCATTAAGCACCGATTCGGGCGGATTTATTCCGGGTCAATTTTTGGCAGATTCCAAAGGGGCAGCATCACAGATTTCGGGCGATTTATCCGAAATGCCATTTTCTTTCGATTCTGGAGGCTACAGATCACGGAATCAGGCTGAGGCTATTCTCCACCGATAATGAAGTCTATTGATCCTATTCACCATGGATGATAAGTCCGTTGAGCATCGATTTGGGCCAATTTATTTTCGGATGGCATTTTCGTAATTTCTTGGGCGACGAAAGGCCATTTTCTTTTGGATATTGAAGGCTACACATCACGGGTTCGGCCTGAGGCTATTCTCCAACGATGATTGAGTCCATTAAGCACCGATTTGGGCGGATTTATTCCAGGTCAATTTTTGGCAGATTCGAAAGGGTACCATCACAGATTTCGGGCGATTTATCCGAAATGCCATTTTCTTCCGATTCTCGAGGCTACATTTCACGAAATCAGGCCGAGGCTATTCTCCGCCGATAATGAAGTCTATTGATCCTATTCTCCACGAATGATAAGTCCGTTAAGCATCGATTTGGGACAATTTATTTTCGGATGGCATTTTCGTAATTTCTTGGGCGACGAAAGGCCATTTTCTTTGGATATTGAAGGCTACAGATCACGGATTCAGCCAGAGGCTATTCTCCAACCATGATTGAGTCCATTAAGCACCGATTTGGGCGGATTTATTTCGGGTCAATTTTTGGCAGATTCCAAAGGGCATATAATCCGTGCTGAATACGATCAATAGACTTCATTATCGGTGGAGAATAGCCTTGGCCTGATTCCGTGATCTTTAGCCTCCGGAATCGAAAGAAAATGGCATTTCTTAAAAATCGACCAAAATTTGTGATGGTATCCCTTTGGAATCAAGCAAAAATTGAACCATAATAATTCCGCCCAACTCGGTTCTTAATGGACTTAATTATCATTGAAGAATACCCTCAGGCCGAATCCGTGATCTGTAGCCTTCAATATCAAATGAAAATGGCCTTTCGCCGTAGAAAAAATAACAAAAATTCCATCCGAAAATAAATTGGCCCAAATCAGTGCTTAATGGGGTTATTATTCGTGTTGAATAAGATCAATAGATTTCATTATCGGTGGAATTTAACCACGGCCTAATTCTGTGATCTTTAGCCTCCAAAATCGAATGAAAATGACATTTCGGAAAAATCGCCCGAAATCTACAATGGTACCCCTTTGGAATCTGCCAAAAATTGACCCATAATAAATCCGCCCAAATCGGTGCTTAATGGCCTTAATCATCGTTGAAGAATATCCTCAGGCCGAGTCCGTGATCTGTAGCCTTCAATATCCAAAGAAAATGATGTTTCGTTGCCAAAAAAATAACGAAAATGCCATCCAGAAATAAATTGGCCCAAATCGGTGCTTAATGGGCTTATAATCCGTGCTGAATACGATCAATAGACTTCATTATCGGTGGAGAATAGCATCGGCCCGATTCCGTGCTCTTTAGCCTCCAAAATCGAAAGAAAATGGCATTTCAGAAAAATCGACCGAAATCTGTGATGGTACCCCTTTGGAATCTAGCAAAAATTGACCCAGAATAAATCCGCCCAAATCGATGCTTAATTGACTTAATTATCATTGAAGAATAGCCTCAAGCCGAATCCGTGATCTATAGCCTTCAATATCAAAAGAAAATGGCCTACCGTCGCCCAAAAAATAACGAAAATGCCATCCGAAAATAAATTGGCCCGAATCGGTGTTTAATAAGCTTATTATCTGTGTTAAATAGGATCAATAGACTTCATTATCGGTGGAATTTAGTCGCGGCCTAATTCCGTAATCTTTAGCCTCCATAATGGAAACAAAATGACATTTCGGAAAAGTCGTCTGAAATCTGTGATGGTTCCCCCTTTGGAATCTGGCAAAAATTGACCCAGAATAAATCCGCCCAAATAGGAGCTTAATGGACTTAATTATCATTGTAGAATAGCCTAAGGCCGAATCCATGATCTGTAGCCTTAAATATCCAAAGAAAATGGTCTTTCGTCGCCCAAAAAAATAACGAAAATGTTATCTGAAAATAAATTGGCCCAAATCAGTGCTTAATGGGCTTATTATCTGTGCTGAATAGCATCAATCTACTTCATTATCAGTGGAATTTAGCCTCTTTCTAATTTCGTGTTCTTTAGCCTCCAGAATCGAAAGAAAATGGCATTTCTCAAAAATCGCCCGAAATTTGTGATGGTATTCCTTAGGAATCAGGCAAAAATTGACCCAGAATAATTCCGTCCAAATCGGTGCTTAATGGACTTAATTATCATTGAAGATTAGCCTCATGTCGAATTCGTGATCTGTAGCCTTCAATATCCAAAGAAAATGGCCTTTCGTCGCCCAAAAAATAACAAAAATGTCATCCAAAAAATAATTTGACCCAAATCGGTGCTTAATGGGCTTATTATCCGTGGTGAATAGGATCACTAAACTTCATTATCGATGGAATTTAACCTCGGCCTAATTCCGTGATCTTTAGCCTCCAAAATCGAATGAAAATGACATTTCGGAAAAACCGCTCATGGTACCCTTTGGAATCTGTCAAAAATTGACCCAGAATAAATCCGCCCAAATCGGTGCTTAATGGACTTAATCATCGTTGAAGAATATCCTCTAGCCGAATCCATGATTTGTAGCCTTCAATATCCAAAGAAAATAACATTTCGTCGCCCAAAAAATAACGAAAATGTCATCCGAAAATAAATTGACCCAAATCGGTGCTTAATGGGCTTATAATCCATGGAGAATAGGATCAATAGAATTCATTATCGGTGGAGAATAGCCTCAGCCTGATTCCGTGATCATTAGCCTCCAGAATCGAAAGAAAATGGCATTTCGGAAAAATCGTCTGAAATCTGTGATGGTACCCCTTTTGAATCTGCCAAAAATTGACCCAAAATAAATCCGCCCATATCGGTGCTTAATGAACTTAATCATCGTTGAAGAATAGCCTAAGGACAAATTCATGATTTGTAGCCTTCAATATCCAAAGAAAATGCCCTTTCGTCGCCCAAAAAATTACTAAAATGTCATTCGAAAATAAAATTGCCCAATCGGTGCTTAATGGGCTTATCATCCGTGGAGAATAGGATCAATAGACTTCATTATCGGTGGAGAATATCATCGGCCTGATTCCGTGATCTATAGCCTCCAGAATCGAAAGAAAATGGCATTTCGGAAAAATCGCCCGAAACTTGTGATGGTACCCCTTTGGAATTCACAAAAAATTGACTCGGAATAAATTCGCCCAAATCGGTGCTTAATGGACTAAATCATCATTGAAGAATAGCCTCAGGCCAAATCTGTGATCTGTAGCCTTCAATATCCAAAGAAAATAGTCTTTCGTCGCCAAAAAACAACGAAAATGCTATCCGAAAATAAATTGTCCCAAATCTGTGCTTAATGGGCTTATCATCCGTGAAGAATAGGATCAATAGACTTTATTATCGGTGGAGAATAGCATCAGCCTGATTCCGTGATCTTTAGCCTCCAGAATCGAAAGAAAATGGCATTTCGGAAAAATTGTCCTAAAGTCTGTGATGGTACCCCTTTGGAATTTGCCAAAAATTGACTGAGAATAAATCCGCCTAAATCGGTGCTTAATGGACTTAATCGTCGTTGAATTATAGCCTCTGACCGAATCTGTGATCTGTAGCCTTCAATATCTAAAAAAAATAGCCTTTCGTCGCCATTAAATAACGAAAATGCTATCTGAAAATAAATTGGCCCATCTGTGCTTAATGGGCTTATCGTCCATGGAGAATAGGATCAATAGACTTCATTATTGGTGGAGAATAGCCTCGGCCTGATTTCGTGATCATTAGCCTCCAGAATCAAAAGAAAATGGCATTTAGGAAAAATCGTTTGAAATCTGCGATGATACCCCTTTGAAATCTGCCAAAAATTGACCTAGAATAAATCCGCCCATATCGGTGCTTAATGGACTTAATCATCGTTGAAGAATAGCCTAAGGCCGAATTCGTGATCTGTAGCCTTCAATATCCAAAAAAATGTCCTTTCATCACCTAAAAATTACGAAAATGTCATTCGAAAATAAATTGGCCCAAATCGGTGCTTAATGGGCTTATCATCCGTGGAGAATAGGATCAATAAACTTCTTTATCTCGGTTTGATTCCGTGATCTATAGCCTCCATAATCGAAAGAAAATGGCATTTTGGAAAAATCGCCTGAAACCTATGATGGTACCCCTTTGGAATCCGCAAAAAAATTGACTCGGAATAAATCCGTCCAAATCAATGCTTAATGGACTTAATCATCGTTGAATAATAGTCTCAGACCGAATATGTGATCTGTAGCCTTAATATCCAAAGAAAATGGTCTTTCGTCGCCCAAAATATAACGAAAATGACATCCGAAAATAAATTGGCTCAAATCTGTGCTTAATGACCTTATCATCAGTGAAAAATAGGATCAATAGAATTCGTTATCGATGGAGAATAGCCTAGGCCTGATTCAGTAAATGCAGTACTGCGGTTGAAGCTTCGTTCCTAGCTGAGATTGATGGCATGCTATATATTTTCGTGTTAGTTGGGACGAGATGAGGGCCTTTCTGTAGGGGGCGAACGATCGACGTGCTAGGTTGCTGGTGACTTACTACTGTTCTTAATTTGGCTGTCTCTATGTCGTTTCTATTCTCTCTATCAATAATAAAGTGCAGTAGAAGGGATTGTGGATGATCTGTGAGACACCATCTCTCTTGTGCATTGAGGCCCTCTTCTCTGATCATGCCTTACAGTTTGTCGAAGTAAGCATCTGCAGTCTCCTCACATCTATTCTACTCATGAAAATGGTAGTGGCAACTGGCAAGCCAGTGAGATTGACAGGTAACAGAAACAAGTAACTGTTACTTGGGCTGCACTCTAAAAGGATCATGGGTAGGCATGAACCCAACTGAACTTGCACATCAAGAACTCAGGCACATCAAATATACAAAATTACTGCTTTTTAAGGTGAACGGCTATTTGCCGCCAATCAAATTGCTATTTGCCGCCAACTAAAAAAAAAAAAAAAAGAATTCAAAATTTGAATTTTCTATTCCTTCCTAGTGCCTCCGTCGCCGGTAAAAAAAAAAAAATTTTAATTTTGAATTTTCCCTTCCTTCCCAGTGCCTCCGTCGCCGGCACCGTTCTTCCGTCGTCGGCTAACCTCCCGTCGCCCTCAATCGTCGGAAAACAAGTAAGTTTACTTTTTCCGGCCAGTTTTCCAGTTTTCCGGTAAGTTTTCCAGTTTTCCGGCGAAAAACACGGCGGGCCGAAAAAAAATTGCGGCCCGAACGTCGCCGAGCCGAAAAAAATTTGTGGCCTGGACGACGGCCGGCCGAAAAATTCTTTCGGCCCGGCGACGCCACGGCCGCAAATTTTTTTCGGCCGGTCGCCGAACACGCCGGCCAAAAATTTTCCGGCGGCGTGTTCGTCGGCCGGCCGAAAAAAATTTGCGGCCGTGGCGTCGCCGGGCCGAAAGAATTTTTCGGCCGGCCGTCATCCCGGCCACAAATTTTTTTCGGCTCGGCGACGTTCAGGCCGCAATTTTTTTTCGGCCCGCCGTGTTTTTCGCCGGAAAACTGGCCGGAAAAAGTAAACTTACTTGTTTTCCGACGATTGAGGGCGACGGGAGGTTAGCCGACGACGGAAGAACGGTGCCGGCGACCGACGATTGACTTGCCTCGCGCCCGATCTTCGTCCAATCGACCCCGAACTCGCTAGAAATCCATAATGAAATTCATAAGTTCATAATGACACTAGGGTCATTAAAAATACAACTAGAAAAACAACAACATATAAATAGAGCATTGCAACACGACACACGATTTACGTAGTTCACTAACACGAAGTATTTATAGTACTTCTCCATGTGGTAGCGGCTGATAGTCCGATTCAAGTCACATCAACAAAGGGTTTAGGGTTCAGGGTTCACTTAGGGTTTAGGGTTTGAAACACATGGTTCGTGTAGCACTTTGCCCACATTGTCTGATGGTTAGTGATGATTCATGGATGCGTGTACGCATTATATGTCGAGGATAGGCTTTCCCGATGATTTTCCGACGACTTTTCCGGCGAGCGTTGAATTTTTCTGATTCAATACGTTCTGTGAAAGTTGGATATGTTGTAGATTGTGAAACTCCTTAACCAAAGATGTATATATATACATTTTTTTTCATCGATGATTTTCCGGCGACTTTTCCGGCGAGCGTTGAATTTTTCTGATTAAATACGTTCTCTGAAAGTTGGATATGTTGTAGATTGTGAAACTCCTTAACCAAAGATGCATATATATACTTTTTTTTTTTGTTGGCGACAAATGGCAATTTGGTTGGCGGCAAATAGCAAGCCCTTTTTAAGTACATAGATGCAATCGCGTACCTTTATCTTTCATTCAAAACCAATTGAAGTGTGGATAGTCGCTAAGCATTGTACGAAATTCTAATGGTAAAGTATCAGCGGGAAGAAAAAATATTTCGCGTGCTTCTTTTTAGCTGGGTAAGGTGCCTGCTGAGGAGCACCTTTCGGCGTGCAAATGCGCCAAAGTGAAACTGAAACAGGCGATTGGGTAAAAAGTAGTTTATAGGTCAAAGACCATCAAAAGAAAATTTCTCGGACGTCGACACTAAACATGTTCCGCCATTGAAACTCGCGAACGTAAAGTGAAAGAGTAAAGGTCTAAAGTACCTGAACGCTACGCCGCCGTGACCGAGGGAATTGCTCCCGGCGCAGTAGGTCGGCCGGTCGACGAAGGAGAAGCAAAGCCTGGAAGGAATCAGAGGTAAAGTAAGTTGCTGCTGTGGAATGGGTTGCAGTGCCCCAACGCCGGTAGATCTATTGGATAAACCTGTGGAAGACTGGAGGTGTTGCCGCCAGAACCCCATGTAAGTCAGTTGCCTCTGGCGATGAATGGTAGCAAATATTCACTTGTTCTAAATCAATGCCCTCTGACTGTTCGACGAAATGTTCACAACAAGAACGCTACCTATCATGTTCAAATGGTTACCATAGTAATTACCAAACCAAATAAGACTAAATTCTATTAATCATGAAAAATAATTTAATAATCAAACCGTCCAAACTAATACAATAACCAAATAACCAAACTAAAGTTTAATCGGTTTGGTTAATTGGTTAACTAAACTAACCAATAATATCATCATATTATCATTAAGTGAGAAATTTTTCGGGTAGTGCATCAATTTGCCATTTATATAATGAATAACACACAACAATCAACACATAATTATAGTTAACCCCTAACATAAATACATGTAACTAATATAATTATCTCACATTTAACTCTTAAGTGGCTATGCAAAGTATTAAGTATGTGTATAATATATGACTAATTACTTAATTGGTTAATTTGATTTTATCGGTTAGGAGGGTCTGAAACCAAACCAAACCATATAAACCAAACAATTATCCAAATTAACCAAATTAAATTATCCAAATACTACGGATTAAAACGGCTATCGCAATAACTACTCCATTTGAACACCCCACCTACATACATGAATAACTTTTTGGCCCTTTCCCACCTCTTTTGACAGATAAGGTGGAGTAGGTCCATAAAAATAAGTTAAAAATGAAAATTAATTAAAAATAAACACGAAAATTGTATTCATAAAGTTCACCAATTTTATGGTTTTTACCATGAACTATAACTAATTTTCAAATATCGTTCTTGATTAAACTCATATATGAAAAATATCATTTTGTAGCTTGCAGTTGCAAGAGGTAAAGTCAACACTAATTTAAGATGGGAAAGCTGGAAGGGTGGCCACAAGCGTCAACGTGGAAGTTTGAATTAGAATGGGGATGTCGCCGACACGACGTCAACAATTGGAGGATGTAAACAGGCATCAACGAGGAAAGCAATAACAAAACTAGAAAGCAAATTGGAAATTAACTTAAAGAAAAATCTATGGAAGAAGCTACGGGGAAAGACGGCCTGAAATTCACTATCTAATTATTTGATTCAACCAGCTTATTAATCACTTAAATTCTCTTTCAAATTACCGAGGTTATCGCTAAGATGATAGCTATCTCTCTGAATACTCATTACGTATTAAGTAACCAATTAATTGTTTACTCTTGTGCAATCAACTAATTAGCTACCTAGTTAGAAGCCCAATAACTCCTATATTTACATATGTTAATAATATTATGACAACAAGCTTTGGACAAACACCGCCGCTTCATCCAACTTCCGCTGCATTTCCTCCATTGTCTCCCTTCATACATACAGATTCACAATAGCTACAAATTAAGTATTTTGTAGGGTAGTGGAATCAGTGGCGGAGCCAGAACTTGAAAGTACATGTGTCCTCTTTCCATAATATATATAATAAATATAAATATAAATAATAATATCCAAATAATTCATTGATAGATATTAATAAAATACTAGACTAACACAATCATTATTTTCATGAGCAGTTACAACATGTTTTCAAATTCTCAATGTATCCGACTAAACAACCATTAGCAAATTGGTCGCAATTTGACTTTGAAACTTGTTTTTTATATAGTTCAAAGCTGAAAATGTTCTTTTTACACTTGTAGTTGCAACGAGTAGAGTCAAAACTAACTACAGAAGACAAAGAGATTGATTTTCAGTATTGTGAATTTTGTTTATAGTGTGATAAATTAGTTTATGTTAGATTTTAAACTTGAAATAACTCGTAATGTAGTGATAATTCACTTTTATATTACCTCGAACAGATGAGTGCAATCCTATATATATATATATATATATATATATATATATATATATATGGTTATGTCTTCGGTGCACTCACTTTTTTGAGTGCATTCAATGCACCCGCCTCATAATCGTCATTCTGAGCAGACGATTCATGTGAAAACGATGTCAATCATCCCTTGTAGTATGATGAACAAGAACCACATGAATTTGTACAAAAATCAATCAAGGTTCACTTTAATTTGAATGATTCAGGGTTTAGGAATTTAGGGTTAGGGTTAGGGTTTACAATTTGGGATTTTGGGTTTAGATTCAAAATTGAATGTTAATAGGTTAGGGTAATGGGTTGATTAGTTGTGATTTTATGTATATCATCATATGAGACTAATGCTACCCATTAAATTTCAAAATTTGATGTATTATGACCACTTTTAGAGGTGGGTGCACTGAATGCACCCAAAAAAGTGAGTGCACCGAAGTAGCCACCATATATATATATATATATATATATATATATATATATATATATATATATATATATATATATAATGTGTGTGTGTATATATATGTATGTGTGTATTTTATTATATCAAAAAGTTGTCTGTGTCTCGGGACACATCCAATTGGCCTTGGCTCCGCCTATGAGTGGAATCTCATTTCCTTCATTGCTAAACCTATGGACCACCGACTACCCTGTCTCGGTAGACGAGGCAGGTGGTGTGATCGTCGAGCCACTTATCCACGCAGATCACGTGGAACAAGTGGCCACAGTTGGGGAGTTGTCGTATCTCCCCTCCCGGTGTGAACTGCGTCCAAGCAGATGGCGCAGTCGTTGGGATCCTCCTCGGCCGTAAACTGGAGTATCAGGAGTGGGGAATCTCGCCATTGATTGGGTACTGTTCTTTAAGAAAAAATTGGGATAACTGATCATGTATATTACATGTAACTATTATACGTGCGTATGTTAGTTGTAACTGTTATACATAGTGTTATTTTTACTAACACTATTATGTTACTATTATACATACGTACGTATGTTATACATAACTATTATACATAGGTTATAGGGTTAATACCCTCGTTTGGCACGAAGTATAGCGTTAGTGACATTTCTGGCCCAAGTTTTCAAATAAGACATCTCTAGCCCACTTTTCAAATTATCGGACGAATTTGGCCTGTGGGACGGGTTGACTGTCAGATTTGACGGTCAACAATGTTCTCCGTTGCTTACTCAGCATTGGACTCTGACGTGGCTTCTCCACGTCATTTATTTTTATTTCCCTTTTTATATCCATTTCTAATTCAGTAAGTTAAAAAAAAAAACAAAACTAAAGGGAAAGGTGGAGACCACACACTACCCATCTCTTTCCATTCCCCCTTCTTCCCTGTCAACCCCACCCCCTCGTATCCCCTTCCCCGATCTTCTCCGCCGCCGCCAATCCGACTCCTCTTCATATCCTTCCCTCTCCAATCTTCTTCTTCTTCTTCGTCTCCTTCCTCCTTCGTCTCCTTCCCTCTCCAATCTTCTTCCTCTTCGTCTCCTTCCTCCTTCGTCTCCTTCCCTCTCCAATCTTCTTCCTCTTCGTCGCCAACCCATCGAGAGGAAGCAAGCACAATGTCATCTGCTAAAAGGAGTGGAGGGGGAAGTTCAGCCGGTTCGAGTTCTACAACCACACCCATCGAGAGGTGCAAGCACAATGTTCCATGTATTGTGCAGATGTCTAGAACAGAGGACAATCCGGGGAGAATGTTCTACAACCACACCCTCGATCAATGTACTCACTAACTCAAAATATGACATTTGATCAAGAAGCAGCTGAACTCGGTCGACATCCCCTCCAACATATATCGGTACCTCAGTAGCTGTATCCATCATTCCCCCATGATGAAATAAAAAGTCGATACTCATCCTGCAAAATTGGGCAAAAAATGGGTCATTTAGTGTTCGAAAACCCTTGTTTATTGAAATGGACGATGTTTATTCACATACAAACATGCTCGTGAAATGGACAGTGTTCGATACTCATATAATCCCTAAACAGAAAAGGAACAGAAACAGGACATTGTTTATTCACATACAAACAAGCACTTTAGTATTCTTTACCGAGTTCTCAGAATCCCAAAACAGAAAAGAAACAAAAAGGGACATTGTTTATTCACTTCTGCACTTTCCCAAATTCGATTCCAATATAATAAAGTGTAGAAAACGACATTCAAATATTACCTGTTTCAGCTCAAAACCTAATTTCGTATCTGAAGTGGCTCCTTGCTCGACTGCCGAAGACAGGAGAGGGAAAAGGCTGATCGAAGACCAGTTTATCGCCGGCCGAAGACAGGAGAGGGAAAGAAATAAATCCCGCCGCCGTGAAATCCCTCCGCCGTGAAGATATGATGCTCGGCCAAGAAAGGACCGGCAAAGAAGAGAAAAGAAACGCGGCGCGGCCAAGAAAGGGCCGGCCGGCCGCACTCTCGAATCTGTTGGCGGTGACTCGATCGGGCTGGATGAGGAGGCGAGCGGGTGGGGTTTCACAGGACGAAGAAGGTAATGGGAGGGGGATACGAGCCGACGATGGATGGGGTTTCACAGGAGGAAGAAGGTCGGTGGGGTTTCAAGTGCCATGCACTCCGATTTGGGTCGGATTGGCGGCGGCGGAGAAGATCGGGGAAGGGGATTCGAGGGGGTGGGGTTGACAGGGAAGAAGGGGGAATGGAAAGAGATGGGTAGTGTGTGGTCTCCACCTTTCCCTTTAGTTTTGTTGTTTTTTTTTTTTAACTTACTGAATTAGAAATGGATATAAAAAGGGAAATAAAAATAAATGACGTGGAGAAGCCACGTCAGAGTCCAATGCTGAGTAAGCAACGGAGAATATTGTTGACCGTCAAATCTGACAGTCAACCCGTCCCACAGGCCAAATTCGTCCGATAATTTGAAAAGTGGGCCAGAGATGTCTTATTTGAAAACTTGGGCCAGAAATGTCACTAACGCTATACTTCGTGCCAAACGAGGATATTAACCCTAGGTTATATGTATTTTTACTAACTATTATACATACGTATGTATGTTACACGTAACTATTATACATACGGAAGTATGTTATGCACATTTTTACTAACTATTTTATGTACATATGTTATACGTAATATACGTGTCGTGTTTTACTAACTATTATACGTACGTGCATATGTTATACATAAATATTATAAGTATGCTATACACATTTTTAGTAACTAATTATATATGTGTATGTATTTTTACTAACTATTATACGTATGTCGTATTGTTATGCGTAACTATTATACGTATGTTATACCTATTTTTACTAACTTATACGTATGTACACGTATGTTATACCTAGGGTAAATCAGAGGCCAATAAGAAATCTCTTTTCAACTCCCCATTATATTAGAGTGGCATTGTTTTGCCTTTCTCTTCAACTATCTGAAAAAATAGACATTATCCTAATTTTTTTATATGCTATCAAAATGTTGTATTAAGTACATTAGGGAAAAACCGATGTAAGAAAATCCCAAATATAGATATTTGCCCGAGTCCGATTTGATTGGGTAGGATAAAACTCGAATCTGAAAAATTATTTGTGGGTATGGATAATACTCGAATCCGAACATTGCGAATAATGAATGGACATGATTTTTTCACTATCCAATCCGAACTCGTCCAATTGTACACACGCATATGTACTTTATCTAGGAAGAGTTATTGTTTTTCTCAACATACATATTTGAGATTTATTATACATATATAATAGTTTTCATGAATTTTTGTTGCTTTTAACAAATTTTCTTCATTCTAGTGATTAGTGATTGTAATTTTCCACATATATAATGTCAATAAACATGTTGACGTTAACATGTTGGCCCGAGTTATAAGGGGAAATTACTACTCATGGATAACCGTGAATACCCGATCGAGCATGTGCATGGTTTTAATTGTTTACCCGGTTCATGTATTGGTATGGGTAAAAAATTGTGTAACCGAGAAAAAATTTGTTTCCAACTCGCATAAATAATTTTGCTTCCAACAAAACTCAAAGTCGGAGCAACCCAACTTCCACCATAACATTATAAACATTAAAATAATGTTAAGAGTTAAGTCTCGTTGGAAATTAGGGAGAGCGATCGAGTGGGTTTCTAGCACGAATTGGAAAATGGCCTTGCTCCATGATGTCATTGGATAAACCACAATTTATACTAGAGTAGACCAAGAACTAGAAAAATATCATAAAATTCCGATCATGGACCAAACTAAACCATTCTTGACAGTTTAAGCCAAAACAAACTGTTCCGTCCTTTTTTGTTCACTATTTTTCAACTATCCAATCTATTTTCCGAGCATCCATTTTCATTGTATCTACTCTTCCACTTTTGAAGGCAAAACGGTGCAGTTTCTCTCCAAAACATCCTAACTGTTTTTTTTAGTGCTCTCCGTCTTCGTTCGACAAGCGCCCATCTCATCCCTGTTTGTGCAAAGCTGACATGGAGGAGGAGAACGAGAGGAACGGCGCGGAAGAATCTATGCAGCTGGAGGACGACGACGACGACGGACCACCGCCAGGATGGCAATCGATCCCTCCTCCACCAGATCCTTCGGAGGAGAAACCTGCTTCACCTCCCCCACCCCCTCCGCCGCCGTCGCCGTCTCCGCCGCCGCCAACCACCGCACCGACGGTACCTATACTCGAGCCACCACATTCAGGTGAGGCGCCGTCTGCTCAAAAACTCGAATTAAGTCCACGCAAATTAGGAACTTGGGCTGTTTTTATGCTCTGTGAAAATTGTTTTTTGGGGACACTGGGGCGATGCAGAGATGGCTCAGATGGTTTGTGGTTCCTGTCAACGCCTTCTATCCTATCAGAAAGGCGCCAAGCACGTGAAATGCGGCTGTTGCGACTCTCTCAATTTTGTGCTGGAAGGTTAGCTAGCGAGTCTTCTTCTTCTTCTTCTTCCCCTAGTCAATCCTCCTGTGTTGAACTTTCAATTTCACATAGGTTGAATTTGAATAAGGTCACCACATACTGCCCTAAGCGAGAACATTAGCTACTCCTCTTACTAAACAGTTCGGTAGAGTATGGGGCGGAGTTCTAAGTGTAGAATAGTAAAGATGAGATGACTTAACTGTTGGGACTGTGGTTGTTTTTTGTGTTGTTGCTTGTAGCTCACGAAGTCGGGCTTGTTAATTGTGGATACTGTCCTGTGCTGCTTATGTACCAGTATGGATCTTCGGCGGTTCGCTGCTCCTCCTGCCAGAACGTAACAGCAATCGGAGTATGTCAGACGAATCTTTATCTCACTCAATTTATGCTTTGATGCATTTCAATCAGTGATGACTGCTATAACTTGTGATACATAACATAAGGCTGCATCTGCTTCATTGGAGACATGTCGCCATAGTGTTTAAGATCTTACTGATAGCAACAACAACAACAACAAAAAAACTGCTCATTTTCCTTCTACTGCATCTTTTCGTGGTAAAGTAAAGGTCGACATAAACGTTGGGTGGATGTTTCTCTAGAAAGATTTAGCTTCTCAAACAAGTCTGGATTTGGATTATAGATAGCAACCTGCACGCCTAAAGTACAATGTGGCTGACACTGATAGACATAATTAGCAGATGCACACAAGACATGAAGACGAGGACGCTTTTCACCTTATGGATGGTTGTTAAGTTTTGCTTTGTTTGGATGTTAATCGAGATGTTTTCTTCTATGAACTTGACAAAGTGACTCTTGTTTCTCTAACCTGATTCATTATATACCCACAAGGTTTGACCGTGATTCGTGTATATTATGTGCAGGAACACAACCAACGCCCGCCATGGTCTGTAATACAAGGATACCCTCCTGCCTCGCCTTCCCCTAATCCTGTTCGCTGACTGAGCCTCGAGGTCTCGGCAACATCCTGAAAACTGTCTAGGTCAGGACTCAGAAGGAAGGGTGAAAGACTCTCCTAGTGGTTTTGTGTAGGCTGCTTCTATGACCAAATTCAGAGATGTTATGAATGCTTATTGGGATTTCTCCCAGATGTTCAGCTTAGAGATCTACATCCTTATCTTGTTCTTTTGCCTCTAGTGATGAGCTGGCGCTATATATCTATACCTGAAGGTTCAGTCTCTCTGGAAATTAAACTTCCTGGTGTTGGCTAGAGTTGAGTATTGTGGGCGCGTCAAATCGATCTCTCCCATGAACAAGATAAGAGATGCTTATGCTGGCTGTCTAAAACTACAGGTTAGTTCATTGGATTCTGCTAAAAAGATATTATCTTGAACAGCAAGAGTTATTATCAGAGTTCTCCTGAAAGCAAACTAGAAGGGAGCAAGTAGTCGCCCATAGTTTTTATTATTCTTGATGTAAAATGTTTTTGGCGAATTGTCAAAAGTGACAGCTGCCTGTAACTCTATCGTTTAACTTAGATTATTGCGCTGAAATTAACTTATTCCAAGATTATGCTCTTTTTTCTTGTCAGCCAAGTTGCGGATTGTTTGTTTCTCTTTATTAACGTGCAGTGTGATCATTCATTCATTCATTAGCTAGCACCGCCGAGCCTATATAATATCGACACAAGGACTTACTGACAGCTTAGAATAAACAATCGATTCATACTTGTCTAAGATCCCATTTAGTCTACGTGGAGAACACGAGATGAAAGGATAAGATATGTTCACAAAAAGAACAGAAAGGACTAATCATTTGGTTTAAGGTATGATTAAAGGGACAAGATTTGGTTTAAGGTTTAATCATATGCTAAGCAGTGGGAATCATGTTTACTTACTTGAGAGAGAGACACAGAGATTGTCGCGGTTCAATCATCTAGTGGGAAGTCCTCATCGGAGGCGTTGTCCAGGAAAAGCGTTTTTCTTATGCTGCTGAAAGCTACGTCTTCCTGTTTCCAAAGGCAGGCAGAAAAAGGTTGGAGCATTAGAATATGGCTAGCGATTGATACCCAAGGTTGATTTTGAAGCGGCGGTGGGGTGGACGTGTGGATCAGATTTGTTGGGTATACCATTTTATTGAGAGATTCCTGCAGTTTAGCAATCATCTCCTCGCCAGCTTTCCCGTGTTCGGCTAGCATGCTCTTCCCTTTCTTCTCTGATGTAATGCATGATAAAACAACGGAATCAGAATTGCTGATTTACTGGTAAGTAACTTTCTTTCACAGAACTGTAGAAAAGAGTGCTTACTCAGCTGTTCATATCGCATGACCAGCTTCTCCTGGTCTTCTTCAAATCTGGACAAGGTATCTGCCCAACCCAGTGAAGAAGCAAAAGGTTACTAGAAAACAGCGACAGGGCATGGAAAGGGAACTGGGAAGAAAATGGCAGCGGGAAGAATACCTTGCAGTGACTGCATGCGAGCTGCTTTCTCCTTGGCAAACTTCGCAAGGGTATCCTGAATCTTTGCAGACTCGCTCTTGACGTAATTTTCGCACTGAAGACTTCCATTTCACAAACAATATGAATACCAGAGCCCATCTGATAATCTCCATAACTCCATTGACCATTAACCAAACGCACCTCTTTGGAACTCTTCTGAATCGCCTTAACAAAGCTTTGCCTGGAATAAGAACTCAAACATTAGCAAACCGTCACACGACCCTCGACCACGGTCCAATCGACAGTGAAAAGGGAAAGTGGGATGTGACTAACCTATTCTTCTCAATTGACGTCAAATCATTGAGCTTCGTCCTGGTCTCAAAAGAAACAACGAATAAAACATGATCAGAATGAACTTAAAAATCTCATAGATGCGTTTCAATAGACAGATAACCATTGGCGGATCCAAGGGGTGGCCACCCCGGGTCCCGGCCCAGCCCTCCTCTGGATCCGGAGTTAGGATAATCCTCATGAATTTGTCGATTTTAGTCATTTAGTCCAGTGTTATTTTATAATACGATTGTGTATAACTAGAAAAATTATTCAAAATAACATATTCGAATCACTGCTCTAAATTTAGCATAGAAATTCTAGCCTCAAAGGTTTTTCATCTAAAAAAACAATGAAAACTAAAAAATTCTAAAGTCTAAAGCGTAAAAGACTAAAAGAAATATGAGGTTTGTTCCCTTGAAAATTTACTAGAGCAACATGGTGGATATAGGGATGGACACACAGTGCAAATTAAATATATTGATCAGTCAATTGATTTGTCTAGTGTTGATGCTGCCCGTTTCAATAGCTACCACGAAGAGAACATTTTTAACAATGAAACATGTGAAAACAGATTTGCACAACAAAATGAACGATGAATTTCTCACCGATTGCTCAAGTATTTTATTTGAAACATAGCTGGTATGTATGTCGACTCCATTATTGGCGCATTCGCTAAATTAAAAGACCGTCGTGTACAATTGACATTGTAAAAAAAAACTATAATCATATTTTTTTTACGATATATAATTTTCTAATGGAATGCGGCCCAGTGCTCTACTATGTTTTGGATCCGGAGCTGCTGATAACCTTTGGAGGGAAAGCGGAACTTAAGATTTTCATCAAACAAATCAAAGCCAAAGCAACGAGTCAGAGTTTCCGCAATTGATGAAGAAATTCAAATCAAAATCTCAAAATTACTAACAAGCGCGTCAGACTAAGAAAATCTCACGATTCTGCGTAACTCGCTTTTCCTTCGTCAACAGAGACGCACAAAACCAAACTGTACTCTACTAATCGATTGAAGGTATGAAGTAGCTACAAACTCACAATCGGAGCCAGAATTTTGTAACTGATTGATGAAGTTCAAGGGCATCGTTGATTTGAATCAACAAGAAGAAGAAGTCCAGAAACCCAAAGGAATGCAGAAGCTGAAGGTTGCAGAACTTGCAGAAGAAGAAGAACAATGGAGTTGAGGCTCTTGGTGAAGAAACGTTTTATGTTGGAAACGGCTTAGCTAAAACGCAGTGTTCAGTTTCTTTATTAGTGTTAGTTACTTACAGAACAATAGAATAGTGACACCTGGCTTTGTTACCGTTATGTTACAGTAAAACTGGAACTCTATAAATTAAAGAATCCCAGCAACAAGACAAGCTGAGGAATTCCCAACTTCTTCTTCCTCCTTTCTTCTGCTCAATCAAACCCTTCCTCAGGAAGGTTTCAAACCCTTCTTTAGAAAGTTTCATGGTATCAGAGCGGATCTAAGGGATCATGTCAGGCTCGGGCACGACGAGTGGAGGTCCTAATACTCCACCAAACACTCCTCCAATGAACTTTGGATCCTTCCAAAACCAGCCAGGAAACCCTCAAGGCAACAACAACAACAACCGAGCTGCAGATCTGAGTTTCGGTAACCCATTCTACATAAATCCCAATGAGAATTTAGCTCAATCTATCGTACCCATTGTTTTAGATGGCCCAAATTATCAGACCTGGTGTAAGGCAGTGAAGGTGGTTCTTAAGACTAAGAACAAGCTGGGTTTTATAGATGGGTCGATTGTTGCTCCGAACAGAAATGACAATTTATTTCAGATCTGGGATGCTTGTAACACGATTGTGCTGTGTTGGATTACTAATTCTCTGGAAAAGGACATAGCAAGAAGTGTCCTGAGTCATGATAATGCTTATGCTTTGTGGAATGAACTTAGAGATCGTTATGGTCAAGCTGATGCACAGAAGCTTACTAACCTTGAGGATGAAATTCATTCCACTAAGCAAGGAACACAGACTATTACACAGTACTATACACACATGAAAGGTCTTTGGGAAGAGTATACTCAGTTTAACCCTATTGTGCCTTGTGGTTGTTTACCTGGAAATCCTGTGCCTTGTGCTGCTGTTGAAGCATTTAAGTTGAAGCAGAATACAGATTACCTCATTCGATTCCTACGAGGGTTGAATCCTGAGTATGACTACATCAGGACACAGCAGCTGATGCAGAAGCCTCTGCCAACAGTAGTGCAAGCTTTCCATGATCTATTACAGCATGAGCAGAAACTTAAGGCAGATGGGAAAGGATCTGGTAACAAGGCAACAACTCAATCAGTTGCTTTAGCAGCTGGTTCTTACAGTGGAAATGGTTCTTCAAATTCCAACTCAACAACTAAGAATCCATACAAGGGAAATGGAGGTGGAGAAACTGGTACCTACAAAGGAAGTGGAAGTGGTGAGACTGACCAGTTGTTTTGTAACTACTGCAAGAAAACAAATCATGTAATCAAGGACTGCTGGAGACTTAAGAAGAAGAGACAGGAGAGAGAGGGATCAGGCAATAGGTTTTCTAGTGCAGTAGCCCAGGATGCAGATGTTGAAGGAGACAGGAACTCACAAGTTGAGGTTGGAATTAGGTTTTCAAACACTACTGGAGGTTTTACTGCAGAGGAAATGAACAAGCTGAGAACCCTCTTGCAGTCTTCAAGTTCCAGTTCACCAACCTCCCCTCAGAGTCCTGCAATCAATCACAGGTCACATTCTGTGACTAACTATCTGCCTCAATTCCCAAGCTATGCAGGTAAACATGTTCTTTCTACTTATCATAATCATAAAACTTTACAAAACACATGGATATTTGACACTGGTGCATCAGATCACATTGCTTGTTCCATTTCTCTTTTTGATAGTTGTTCTCCTGTGTCTGAAATTTTTGTCTATCTTCCTAATCAAACAAGGGTCCAAGTCTCTCACATAGGTTCAGTTAGGTTGTCTCCACAGCTATTCTTACATAATGTGCTTCTAGTTCCCAGCTTCACCTTCAACCTTGTATCTGTTAGCAAGCTTACACATGACCTCCCAATCTCACTCATATTTCAATCTGACCTTTGTCATGTCCAGGACCTAGTGACCAGCAAGAGAATTGGTTTGGCAAAAGAACATAGAGGTCTATATCACTTTCTACCAGACAAGCCTACCATACCAAACACTACCTCTCAAGTTGCTTCCATTTACAATTTTGAACCCCACAAGATTGAGCTGTGGCATTGGAGATTAGGCCACCCCAGTAATAGTAGTACTCTACTTATTAACAAATGTAATCCAACAGTTCCTGTTGAGAGAGTGAAACACTGTGAGCATTGCCATTTGTCCAGGCAAAAGAGATTGCCATTTCCTTTGAGTGATTCTAAAGCTTTAGACATATTTGAATTGGTGCATGTTGATATTTGGGGTCCATTATCAGTTAATTCCCATGATGGTTATTTTTACTTCCTAACCATTATTGATGATCATTCTCGTGCTGTTTGGGTATACTTAATGAAACAGAAGTCTGAAGCTAGGGGATTATTGATTGGATTTTGTAAAATGGTTCATAACCAATTTGGAAAGGCAGTTAAAACTGTGAGGAGTGATCAGGGGAAGGAGTTTTACATGTGTGACTTCTACCTTAATCAGGGCATAGAACATCAAACCTCCTGCACTTATACACCTGAACAAAATGGGAGGGTAGAACGTAAACATCAACACATTTTAAATGTGGCACGTGCTTTGAGATTTCATTCAGGTGTACCCCTAAACTTCTGGAGTGATTGTGTAATCCATGCTGTTTACATAATCAATAGGCTTCCAACTCCAGTCTTACAAAACAAGTCTCCCTATGAAGTACTATATCAAAAACCTCCTTTCTTTGGTCATTTGAAAGTTTTTGGGTGTTTAGCATATGCTGCTAGCACTGTTCCAGGCAGAACCAAGTTGGATACAAGAGCTAGACAATGCATCTTCCTTGGACTTCCAACAGGTATCAAAGGTTATAAATTGTTTGACCTTAACTCACATGACTTCCTAGTGTCTAGGGATGTGATATTCTATGAAGACATATTCCCATTTAAAATGTTAAACTCAAATCCAGAAGTTGATAATGAACAGGCTGAAACCAATCCATCACCTGTGTTTCCATCAATCCTAGATAATAGTCTTCTTCCTGTCAGTAGTCCTTCTCTACAGGATAATGTCAATAGTCCATCCACACAGGGTCATGTCATTAGTCCTTCCTGTCAACCTTCTTCTTCATCTTCTCATCCTACAAGCAATGAATCTGGTGCATCTTTTGATAATACTCCTGTGTATGAGACTGATGCAACTGTAGAGAATGAAGAAGAAGAAGAAGCAGAACTCCAGCAACTGGAGGAACATGAGGCAGAACCAATTAGAACAAGGCCTCAGAGAAATGTTAATTTGCCAACCAGGTTAAAGGATTATTACTTGGGAATTGTCACTAAGTATCCAATCACAGATGTGGTTGATTACAAGTTGCTGACTGAAGACATGAGAAGATATGCTGTCAATATCGTGACAATGGTTGAACCAGCTTCTTTTGCAGAAGCTAATGAAGAAGAATGCTGGAGATTGGCAATGAAAGAAGAGTTACGTGCACTTATTGAAAACCAAACCTGGGAGTTAGTTAAGTTACCTCCAGGGAAAAAGGCAATTGGATGTAGGTGGGTGTACAAAATCAAACTCAAACCAGATGGAAGTGTTGAAAGATTTAAGGCCAGATTAGTGGCAAAGGGTTTTACTCAAGTCTATGGGGTTGATTTTCTAGATACTTTCTCACCAGTTGCCAAGAACAACTCAGTTAAAACACTGCTTGCAGTGGCTGCAGCAAAGGACTGGTGTTTACATCAGTTAGATGTCTCTAATGCATTCTTGCATGGGGACTTGGAAGAAGATGTGTACATGCAGTTGCCATCAGGATATCCAGTTGATGAAGGTTCTGAGGGCATGGTTTGCAAACTCAAGAAGTCATTATATGGATTGAAACAAGCCAGTAGGCAGTGGTTTGCCAAGCTTACTGGATCTCTTTTGAAAAATGGATTCTCACAGTCCTCATCTGATTATTCTATGTTTGTCAAGAGGGTTCAGGGGAGGATTGTGATTGTCCTAGTCTATGTTGATGATATAATACTTGCAGGCCCCAGATTAGGTGATTTGGAGGCAGTAAAGTTGTTACTTAAAAGGGATTTTAAGATCAAGGATCTTGGAAGTTTAAAATACTTCCTGGGATTGGAAGTGACAAGGAACTCTAGTGGGATTTCAGTCTCACAGAGAAAATACTGCATGGATTTACTTGCAGAAACAGGATTATTGGATGCTAAGAGTTGTAAAAGTCCTCTTGATTGCAAGGTCAAATTGAGTGCAACTGAAGGAACACTGCTGCCAGATCCAAGTGTGTACAAAAGACTGGTAGGCAGATTACATTACTTGACAGTGACCAGACCAGACATTGCTTTTCCAGTTCAGCAGCTGTGTCAGTATCAAATACAACCAAGAGACACTCATTTACAAGCTGCTTATAGAGTTTTGAGATATTTGAAGGGAGCACCAGGTCAGGGTTTGCATTTTAAATCAAATAATGATCTGGTTTTGAAGGCTTACAGTGATGCTGATTGGGCAGCATGTCCTGATACAAGGAGATCCATTTCTGGTTATTGTACTTTCCTAGGTGGATCTCTGATTACATGGAGAGCAAAGAAGCAAACTACAGTGTCTAGGTCTTCGTCTGAAGCTGAATATAGAGCATTGGCTCACCTGGTGTGTGAGATACAGTGGCTTAAAGGGCTGCTTGTAGAACTGGATGTGAAGGTTCAAACACCAGTTCTGGTTTATTGTGACAACATGTCTGCAATTCAAATTGCAGAAAATCCAGTTTATCATGAGAGAACAAAACACATCGAAATCGATGTTCATGTTACTAGAGAAAGGATCAAGTCTGGACTTATCAATTTGAAGTTTGTAAGAAGTGAAGATCAACTTGCTGATCTGTTTACTAAAGGCCTAAGTCGATACAGGTTGAGTTACTTGTTGGACAAGTTGGGCGTATTAAACATATACGCGCCAACTTGTGGGGGCGTGATGAAGTTCAAGGGCATCGTTGATTTGAATCAACAAGAAGAAGAAGTCCAGAAACCCAAAGGAATGCAGAAGCTGAAGGTTGCAGAACTTGCAGAAGAAGAAAAACAATGGAGTTGAGGCTCTTGGTGAAGAAACGTTTCATGTTGGAAACGGCTTAGCTAAAACGCAGTGTTCAGTTTCTTTATTAGTGTTAGTTACTTACAGAACAATAGAATAGTGACACCTGGCTTTGTTACCGTTATGTTACAGTAAAACTGGAACTCTATAAATTAAAGAATCCCAGCAACAAGACAAGCTGAGGAATTCCCAACTTCTTCTTCCTCCTTTCTTCTGCTCAATCAAACCCTTCCTCAGGAAGGTTTCAAACCCTTCTTTAGAAAGTTTCACTGATTACAAAAAAAACGTTGATTGGAACTCTCAAGATCCAAAATCACCATTCAGAACTGAAATCTAGAGATGATGGAGAAGCTACTGAAAAATCCAAACTACCGCATGTGTGAGATATCCAAAAGGCTTTTGAAGGCCAGTCGTACTTGCAGTTAACAGAGTAACAATGCTCAAACAGAATCATAATCTATCTAAATCCCCCATCGACTCGACATCAATCAAAAGAGAAACAAACGAATCCTAGAGATCTGAATTACCTGGGAATCGTCTCCTCCTACTCTGTTTTCTCTCCGAACTGGTGCAGCGCCGACATGATTCCCTTGAGATCGCTGCAATTGTCATCGCACTGGTTAGGGAAACCGCGAAACCTAAAGCAGTAAGGAGCGCCGGAAAACAGTAATTAGACACAGAGAACCTTGAGAGACCGGGACCGATTTCTTCCTTGACACGGACCTTAGGCGGCGACTTAGCGGTTGCTGTAGCGGCGGCGCGCTTCTTCGAGCTACCCTTCCTGGCTGACATTGCGTTGATCGGAGAGGAAAATCGGGGAGAGAAAAGAGGGAGAAACTCGGTTAGCTGATGATCAAATGTCAGCTTTGGGTGTGAGCTTGAAGCCTTGAACTGTTTGGCTGGTGGGAAGCGCGCGCTCTTGCGCTGTTTTCTTTAGAATTTTTCAAAATTTTGATCGAGCTCCGTTGCCCGGGCATGAGGGAAGTATACGGTGCGGTGGTGTCCAGGGTACGGTGCTCCTTGTTCGACCTTTTCAATTATCCACGTTGCACTTCCAGAAAGGTAGACGGTTTTCGGATTTTGAATTGGAACACAAATAATTTTGAATGAATTAAAAGTTTTATTTTCTAATGAATAACTTATTTTTCAAACATAAATTCCTAATCGATTTTATCGTAGCCGTAGGTCACCAAATTTGTATGTTTACTTCACTATTGCTACTTGAAAGTCGTTAGATTTATATGTGTGAGTTTTAATTGTCACGGGTTTTTTATTCTTTGAATTCGCCATACTCAATAATCAAGTATTATCTTCACAGTTAGTCGAAACTGATTGTGATAAATAAAAAATATGATTATTTTGAATTTTCCATCTCCACACCTACACATGTTCTTATTTTACAATCAGGGATGGCAATTTCGACCTGACCCGTTTTACTCGACCTATTTGATCTGTTTTGGGGCGGATTTGACCCGACCTGTCCTTACCCGCCCCATTCTCGACCCGCTTTTGCCTAAATTACATGTAATTTTAGTCAAATTACTTAGGATTTTCCTTTTATTACATCATATTTTGGCTATTATAAAGTTGTTAAATAGTGAAAATCTCAATTTCTCCAATAATTTAACTACATTTATCATATTATGATTTTTTTCTTGGTCTTATAATGAAAATAACGAATATTCTAATGCTTTCCATATAAAATACGTACCCATTGGGTCGACCTGACCCGACCCGCACCCCGTGATAAATTACCGCCCTGGACCCGACCTGCCACGAGACGAGTATGGCTGCATGGGTATCGAGATACCCGCCCCGGACCTGCCCCATTTCCATTCCTACTTACAATCCTATCTGGCTATCTCTAAAAGTAAAAGAATAGTTATTTTCTCGAAATTTCTTCTAATCCAAACAACATCTAAATCTTACATATCAGACATATTGAATTTGATTCATAAAAGTTGTTTAAAAACATAGTCATACTTAATTAACAGCGCGTACTATATAAAACATGAAGATAAATTCAACGAATAAAATAAAACATGAAGATAATAAAATGCAAGATCAAGCCAATGAGATCATCAATTGTAAACTGTTTCCTATCCACTATATAAATCCCCAGTACCCACCAAGTGTCCTAATTCTGGGTGGGTAAATTTTGCTTTCTATTAATTGTCGATTTCAACAATTAATTAATTCCCCCAACGTGATTTTTGCTGTGTCTTTAAATTATGTTGATTACTCGTGAAATTTAACAAGCTGGTCGGCTTATAATTGTTAATTTATATGTAAACCTTCCCATGTTTCCTTTTTCTATTATGATTAGGTACATAATTGCAATTAATCGGGCTCTCGGTATTAATTGTGATTTGTGCATAGCCAAGCCGGCGTCGGTACCGGCGTCGGATGACAAGATAATGCAGTCGAAGTGTAGACCCCACGAAAGCAGCTTCATTAAGTCTTTGATTTGTTCATTACCCCAAAAAATGCAACAAGCTAGCCTCAAAACGATAGCAAGAAAAGGGTATTTAATTATTTATATACCGATCTTCTTCTAGAATGAGATTATTTGGAAGCAAGATATTAAGCAAATGTATACCCTAATATGTATTATTGATCAATTGGATGACGGGATTACAAAAGTATATGCTCTATTTTGATGAACTTAAAGTACCCAATCAATTGAATCATTGTTTAATGCGATATTGGATTCTCATCAGCTCAATTCTAGTTATACTTCCACATCTGATGTAAAATAAGTTTAAAATTCAAGTAAGAAAAACATAATTGATTAAATAAATTATGTTGTTTGTTACTAAAAAAAGACAAACAAAATCTATATAATAAGTTAGGTCAATTTGAAATTTCTCTGCTCTCTTTAACGGTTAACTAACAGAATTTTAAACGAAAGAATATTTTTGTTACATTTTAATAACGTTTACGCAAAACCAAAATGAGTATGTTTGTTAAATAACAATAGCAGAAGGGTATACAATGCTATTAACCCAAAAAAATAATGAATTTAGATATTGTCTCCTCAAACAATGAATTGTCACATGGACATGGTAATTCAATAATTTAAGAATCTGTGGATTCGTCTTTTCACTTAATAAGCCATAGTACTCATCGAACTCATTCATGGATTTAGACTAGGAAAGACGATGGGCAAGTTGGAGCGAGTATCTCGATTCCTAACTCACTTTCCCAGCAAATCGCTGAAATGTCTCTGTGGCAATCGTACCAGGTCAGGTAATCTATCACGAAACGAGAGTCGATGCAGCTTGACCCATGTATGTCATATAAAAGAAAGACATTATACATATTGATTTTCTATAAAAATAATTAAGTAACAAACTATAACATTATAAATATAGTTAAATTATTCAAAAATTTGAGGTTTACCTGTTTACAACTCTATTGTAGTTAAAATATGAGATCATAATAGTAAAAAATATAAGTAATTTGAATAAATAACATGCAATTTATGCAAAAATGGGTCGAGAATGAGACTCGTCAGATCAAAGAGAGTATCTATACTCGTTCCACCTTGCCTACAAGGTTAATAATACCATCTCAAAACAGATCTAACAGGTCGGATAAAAATAGTTCCGCTCAAAATTGACAAGACGAAGTATTGTTTACAAACTTCTAGATTCAATGTTGACTTGCAAATTTCTGGTCACAAAAGGTTGGCCGTGTCTATATTTAATTTGGCTTCTCTCTGTTAACTAATATAGAATGTAGGGTTATCCCTCATCTACTTTGTCTTCAGTGATTTAAGGTATTACTTTGTAGGGAATTAATCATTGTTTATGAAAGTAACCCATATGCAATAATAAAAATATGTCCTTCTCCAAGGAACACGGGATGCACGACTCCTAGCCCTAGAGTTAGGCAGGCCTAAACGTTTTTATCTATGTACCTAATCTAACTTTTTTGACGCAAATAAATACCTAATCTAATTATTTACGTTATTTGACAACTTTATTGATTGTGATATCATATGTGTGCATGGCAGGTGGCAAATGGATTGAATTTATCATTGGTGGATCAAATAGATTGGTGGATTGATTTATGAATCCAAATAACACCCAAGTCTTGGATTATTATATAAATTTTGAAAATTTTAGGTACAAAATGTCATAATAAAAAATATAGCTACCAAAATGGAAATTTTCAATTATATTTTTTTGTTAAAAAAATAGGTTTTAAAATGTAAAATATAAAAAACACAGGTACTACTGTATATAGTCAACCATCTATGAATCCACCAGTCCAATTGAAATTAGATCATATTAATTGGATTTAAATGGATTGAGTTAGTTTAATATCTTTCACTCTCATTGTTTTACAATAGCAGTGAGAAGCACTATTTAAAAGTAACAACGACACGTTCATTAGAAAACTTTCATGGCATTGGTTGGGGGAAGGGGATGTAGTTGCATGGTCTATATTGTTATGAATATGGATCCTAGAAAGGGGACTTTTAAAATTAAATTACAATTACATATCAATCTACGTAATGCATAAATATTAAATAAAGTGGTAATATTGGGGTTGAATAAAGAGTTGGGTATTGTAACTTTTTACATGAATACTCATATGAAACAATAGTATCATATAAAGAATCAGTTCATCCAAAACTTCACGTATTAGAAAAAGGGTATATTGTATGACTATATATACCAAATAATACCAACTCCCTTACAAAGAAAAGAATATAATATATTTATCAACAAAATATATAATATTTCTTCAACCACTCTTATTTTTTTATTAAGGATAAATATGTTATTTAATATAAAATTAATTTTTTTTATTTTTATTGAATATTGACAATCACAGTTACCAAACACTAAACATTTTAAAACATTTTAAAATCTGTTTTCAACAATCCGAAGAGTTAGCATCTTTAGATTGTTGACAATTAGTAGATTTAAACTCATATTCTCCAAACGATCTCTAACTCTTTTCTATGATTATACTATTATTATATCAACGATACTTTCTTGTTAACAAGCGGCATGCTTAGCCACCTAGGTTTCATATTTTCTTCGAGATTTATAATAATTAATTAATTGATGGACACAATTAATTAGAGTAAGTGCGCGACGAGCTGATCATATGAGTTGACGCGAAGAGGAGTGGGCATCACGCGCATATCGCGGTCAGTGGATACTGCCACGTCACCCCCCGTCCCGTCGGTGAATCCACAGTTTGCCTCCTCCTCCGCCCTCCGCCGAAACGGAGGAGCAGGTCAGAGAAATTAAAAAACAAAAATAAAAAGTAATAAAGGAGATATTTATTTTCTTCTATCTATAAAAACCCCACAAACGGAGCCTTCATCGGATTACCATCGGTTTCTCTTATTCCCTCCCGCCCGCCTGGCGCTTGCCTCTCCGCTCCCGGAGAAAACATCCCCTCCGCCGCCCGCCGGCTTGTTTGACCTCCTGCAGCCACCGCATCCGCAGTCATCTCCGTTGAGCTCCGCGATTCCTCTCCCTGCCTTATTGTTTCAGGTACCGGCTGGCTCCCTCTCTCTCCTCTTTTCATCTCAGATGATTGTTCTTCTGTTCTGTTTCTGATTGTGGCGCGAATCGTCCATGGCGATCTGGAGGCCGTGGATCTCCCGGTGCTCCTCTTTTTGGCCGTATTTTTGAACTGCGCATAGCGGTTTCCCTCCCAGCTCTCTCGTTTTCGTCCATCCGTTGAGGAAATTAGCTTCGGTTCTTCGTCCTTTGAGTTGTGAATTGCAGATGATAGAAGCGAAGTCTCTCGTGCGATTCTGTTGAGTATTCCGTCTGTCAACGATCTTGTTCAATCGGATTGCCAGCTGATATGAGATTGTTCCCTAGGTTCATCCGTTCATTCTGTTTTGGGGGGAATTGATATTGTATATGTTAATTGGATTAGGGTGGCTTGATTGTTGTCTTGTGAGGGTGATGGATTTTCAGAGGAAAAAAGCACTGTTTCCCGTAGGGAATCTGTTTATGGTTTTGTCCTCTCTTTTCCAGCCGTGAGTGAAAGAGGTTCAAACACAGGATAGAGCTGGGCTTAGAATAGGATGGCATGTTCTAGGTTCATTGGTAGCCCAGATCTCATTTTCCGTTGCTGATTAGATTCCCATTGGAGCTTAGAATAGTTTTGACCTATAGTTTCTATTGCTTGATGGGCATGGGCTGTCATCCTTGAACCTAATGCTCACACTGAACGATGAGAAATGGTTGCTTTCTTACATGGTGATGGGTTTCTTGTTTAGATGTCATGTTGTTATAGAGAGCTACTGGCCAACCATTTAAAACCCCTCTACAGAGGATGAGAAAATTAGGTGTAACTGACTTGTCCTTCAGGACTTGGTTCTACCTTCCCTTAGGTTTCATGAATTCAGATTCACCAAATTACTCAATCGTTTGGGTAGAGGTCGTCATCACTATGATTAACCATCTTCATTGAAGGGTTGAGATCTAAGTCATCTTACAGTTTGTGACCATCGGTTTGTGCCTTTTGGTTTGGAATCCCAAGTTCCCTGCCTCCATTACCTTCTCTCGCCATTCCTGTGTGCTTCTGTGGGTCTTTGCATTCGATTTGCTCTGAATTTCCTTCACCCTGAATTTCTCTGGCTTTCCTGTGAGGTTTCATCCTACTGTTCTGAAGTCTGTTTATCCTTTTTTCTTTCCCAGAGAGCCAAATAGTTGCTGGTTCTGAAGAACGGATCCCTCCCAGTGGCCAATCAATGGCATTCCAGCAATTCTACTCGCAGGAATGGAAATCTGTTGCAAGTGCAGCGGCAGCAGCAACAACAACAACCTCGGAAGAACCCAGTTTAAACGACGGCTTCGACTGCAACATCTGCTTTGAATTTGCAAAAGAGCCAGTTGTCACCCTCTGCGGCCATTTATACTGCTGGCCGTGCATCTACAAGTGGCTCCACGTCCAGAGCGCCTCCCTTTCTTCCGACGAGCACCCACAGTGCCCCGTCTGCAAGGCCGTTATATCCCACACCACAATGGTCCCTCTCTATGGCAGAGGACAGTCCACAGAAGAAGAAACCGAAGCAAAGACTCCCGGCAGCAGTGCCATTTCCATTCCCCCTCGACCACCAGCCTGCGGTACCCAAGCTCTCGCCACCAGCAGCACTCAAACAGGTCAGCAGCTTCCTTACCGAAACCCTTACCGGGGTAATAACCACCACGACATTCCACCCATGGCATATGCTAGCTTTGACGAAACTGCTACATCCCCATCGCTGCCTGATACCGGTTTCCACCACCACCCGGGATATGGGGTGCTCGGGGAGGTGGTATTCGCGAGGGTTTTTGGGAACTCCGATAGTTTACATGCTTACCCGAACTCCTATCAGCTTAATCCGAGCGGTAGCTCGAGGTTGAGAAGGCAGGATATACAGGCGGACAAGTCGCTGAGTAGGATCTCGTTCTTCTTGTTTTGCTGCGCTCTGCTGTGCCTCATTGTCTTCTGACCCAGGCAGTGGACGAGTTCTTATGGAAAGAAGCGTTTCATTTTTGTATAATTTGTAAAGAAGAATCCTGAAACGGCTTGTGGAACTTGTGATGAGAAACGCCCATATAGACTTAATGCCAGTCAATTATACAAAGAGAGAGAGATTTAGCTTGTGATGATGACATTGCTGTCACCATTTTTGTCTCAAGTTAGCCTGCCGTTGTGAATTGGACAATTGGACTCTTATCATGTTGGCCACCGACGGGGTTTAGGTTTATCCAATAATGTAATTGGAACTAGTAATGTGTATATTAAAATGTGTATGTGCAACATATAATCTTACCTGTGCTAATCAAACCTGATTTGGTATTTGATGATGCTAGTAAAATGAGACTAATGGGTAGTTGATTAGACTAGTCATTATGAGAGTAATTAGAGGTGGTGAGGTGGTCAATAATCCATATGATAAGGCAATCTTTTTTTGGCAATATCTATGATTTTTATGGTCCACAAACTATTCGTGATCATTGCCCGCACTTTCTTTGTTAACAATAAGGGTGATATGTGACCTTATCCTACGGATCAAAGCTTAGTCCAAGATGTCTTGTACTCTGTCACTATGTTTGCTTGCAGCATTGTCCTCATCCATAAAGGCTCGACCAAGAATAAAAAAGGATCCTTAGTATTATCATCGTTGTCGTGGAACAAGAGCCTAACATTAGGGGTTGTTTGTTGTCGTGGAAAAAAGAGTCTAATGTTAGAGAGGTTGTTTGCTTGATGGATTTAGTGATTGATTTGGATCAATTATGGATTTTGTCCAAACTCCATTGTTTTCTTCATTCTATATTGAAGGCAACAAATATGTCGAACTCACGTCCACATCCGTGTGCCTCACGAATTTGAAAATCCCACCCTTTTAGGTGGGAATTGATCATAAACTTTCAAGTCCACCATTTGTGATCAATTTGTCCCGCCTGTTTCCTCTCTCTTCTCATATCAATGGGGCAACAAAAAAAAAAATCAATTTCACTTTATACATACAAATCTAATTAACAAAATCTATCATGAAATCTATGAAACATACGTTAGTGTTTTTTTCAAGTCCATAATTAACCTAAAATCCTCACATATTCATGGTTTTCAAGACCTAATTGTTACCAAAACCTTCATTTTTCAAATCTACGAAACAAACCAAAGCAAAATCTAGAACTTCACGTGTGTATTTTCCTCCCTTCAGGCTATCTCACGGGATGGTTGAATGCTATCGTCTGAAACTTGTTTTAGGGCTTGGTTCGATTCAAAAAGACTATTCATTGGTTCAATAGTAAGTTCCGCATTGCCAAAAGTTGACTCCGCCTTAGAAAATTTTAGTCTTGCTAACATTACAAAGCAATTATTGATTCTCTTTAGGCAAGTATACTTAAGTCGTTTGGAAGTTGCGATTGTTTTGTTGAGATTATCATTATGCATGTATTGTTTACAATGCATCGTTTTTTTGTTTTTTTAGCAGAAACAATACACGGATTGTTTCTGTGATGTGACAGAAACTATTACTCATTTTGAGTGATTGTTATATCTCAATTTTTAGTTGTGATTGTTGAGATAGTTGAGTTGAGATTGTTTTGTCTCAGCTTTTAGCTGATGCGACATACAGAATCACACATACCAAACGTTGTATTCTACAATGCATCAAATTCGACAATACACGTATAATATTATACATGCATTCTCAACAATACATCTATTCAACAATCGCAACTTATTAAAGCCTTTTTCGATGGTGACATGTATAGTCACCACACACCATTGGATTCCTTCTCCCCATAAAATATACAAAGTGAGTAGGGCACTCCAAGAAGCAAGTATTATATCTTAATGACAATCAAGTAGAGGTAGTCCATAAAATATAGAGAGCATTTAGAGTAGTCCATATAACAAGTATCTTGTTTTGCAACATCTACGATCTTTTTGAAGCCTTTAAACAATGGTTGCACAATGGAATTTGGTCCACATTTAGATTCGTGATCATCTTCAAAGCCTAACCACAAGCATGGAACCCTATTGGTAGTCAGCAGGATTGCCATCGATTCGTATTGTTGTGCAATTATCTATGTTTCTTTGACTTCTAATAAAGACATTCTCGAATGGCTATGATAATATAATGAAATGTTATTATTACTACTTGTTGTTCTTTAATGCTTTTGATAGAACATGTATAATTATTGAATGGACATGGACAAGGACGTGAATTTGTTGGTGTGTAACCAAACTGGATTGTACCCTATTGGTTATTGAGCTCATGGCAATTTATAAGATATTTGAACTCAAATTAATTATTGAATCTGATAAAAAAAATTATATGGATTTATATTCGACCTAATTCTTATTTGATGATGAGGTGCTATGAAATGAGGGTCACCCACGAACAATGCATGTGGCTAGTGGAAGAGAACACGAATCTAAGGAAGGAGAAGTTGGAGCTACAAACCCAAATTGCTAAGTTCAGAGACTTTAAAGGGAAGTTGTTAGATTTCGTTGGCCAATGCATACAAAATAGCAACGATCAACATGTCGAAAATAGGAGAATTTGCTAGAATCAATGTAGATTTAGTTGCACTTGCACATATAGTGCAAACAAGTTTATTTGTTGTTAATTTATCCAAAGTAGGGGGAAAAGGGAAACCCCTTAGCTGTTGGAGTTTAGAGATGGTTGATTTTCAGTTTGCATAGAGTTAGGGGCTGATGGGAAGGGTAACTAAAGGCTTTTCTTGCCAAGCTTATAATCACTAAGTTGCTAGTGACAAAGAAGTTAGTCTTCAATGTGACATTTTTTTGTCACTTGACAAATTTTTGTAATCCTCTCTGTGAATTTTTCATTCCATGTATTATTATTAAATTTCGTTTACAATTATATGACAAGGATCTTGATTGATTAATGGTACAAAACATTGGCTCTTTCATGAAATCTGGTCATAGTGATCTTGCCTTCTTTCACAAATTAAAAAATCATTGTACAAAATTTCTTAAAAAATACTTCAAACGACATTTGCATATTTGCATCCACTTTTTTAATCGGCGATCGCAATATACTAGGTGCGGTAATTTACCATTTCGTTTGTATAAGGTAGAATAAACTATGAACTATAGATCTCAAACCAATATTTTCGGCCCAATCCGGGAAGATTATCACTTGTCAGTCCACAAATGCCCCTTCTGAAAGCCCAATCTGTTTTCACTTAAAGCCCAACAAGGCCCGCCTTCTAATCCGATCTCTCTCCTTAAACCCTACTCCAAAAACAAAAAGCTTTTCGCAGGCTGTTCTTCTTCTGCTACTTCACTTCCACACTCTCAAGAACCCTAAAAAGGAATCATGAACTCCAAGCTAGTCCTCCAATCCCTGACGCGAAATCACTGTGCTATCATCTCCAGATCCTATCACCTCGCCAAGAACAACAGCAGGCCCACTCTCTATTCGAAGATCAGCCCCCTCGGCAATTCATCCGTCTCGGCCGAGCTCGACAATTGGGTCAAGACCGGCCAGAAAGTCCGGTTTCCGGAGCTTCAGCGGATTGTTTTCGATCTCCGCAAGAGAAGGCGATTCACTCAAGCCCTAGAGGTTGGTTCTTCTATCCCCTTCCCACTTTCCTGCCGCTGTTCTCTTGTTTTGATCTAGCAGTATCTGTTTGGTTGCCGAGAAAGGGCGAGAAAATCCTTACATGCTTGGATATCATAGCGGTCTCATCTATCTTTATATCCCATAAGCGAGCTCTGGTCTGTTGTATTAATGTTTACCCAAGAAAATTTGAGAAATGGGGAAGTGGGAAATTTTGCAAGATTGGATCTTTTGGTGATCAGTAGAGGGATATTGAATTCAATCGTCGAATTTTGTTAGTGTTCCAATCTTTTCATTGCATCAGCCAGTTTCGTTCTAGTGTTAATGTTGAAGCACTTTGTTCCAATTTGTCAGGTTTTAGAATGGATGAGCAGATTGAGTACTGTTGTTATCTCACCCGCTGAGCATGCTATTAGGCTCGATCTAATCGGGAAGGTTCATGGGTTCGAAGCTGCCGAGGTTTACTTCAACAACCTTAAAGACATCGACAAGACCGACAAGACACATGGGGCTCTCCTCAACTGTTATGCTCGCCAGAAGCAAGTGGATAAGTGCATCTCCCATATGCGGAAGATGAAGGAGCTTGGTTTAGCCACCTCTTCCTTGACTTACAACGGCATCATGTGCTTGTACACGAATATCGGCCAGCATGAGAAGGTACTGCAAACTAATGTGGAATGGATCAGTTTTACTGTTGCAGACTTGCAGTGATCAAGTTGTGACCTTTTTTTCTTAACGAATAATTTGAACTTTTCTCCCTGATGGAATTGAAGTCTCCTAATTTTTAACAGGTACCTTCGGTGTTGGCCGAGATGAAGTCCAACAATATTTCTCCAGACAACTACAGCTACAGAATTTGCATCAGTTCTTATGGCGTTAGATCCGAAATTGGCGAAATGGAGAAAGTTCTGAACGAGATGGAGCAGCAAGAGAACATCTTGGTGGACTGGAACACTTACACAGTTGTTGCCAACTTTTACATTAAGTCTGGCCTTCGAGATAAGGCGATCGATGCTCTGAAGAAAGCAGAGGAGGTTCTTCAATGGAAAGATGGAACCGGATTTAACCACCTCATATCGCTCAATGCAGCTCTTGGGAACACAGCTGAGATTATACGATTATGGAATGCGGAGAAAACCCTTTGTAAAAGGTGCATAAACAGAGATTACATTACTGTGCTGGAAGCCCTGGTGAAAGTCAAGGAGATTGATGAAGCTGTGAAGATCTTGGAAGAATGGAAATCTTGTCGGAACAATTACGATTTCAAGGTTCCAAATGTTGTCGTTATTGGATGTGTAGAGCAAGGCATGATGGAGAAGGCCGAGGCTGTGCTTCGAAAGTTGATGGAGAAAGGAAAGGCTGTTACTCCGAATAGTTGGGCCACAGTGGCAAAAGGGTACCTGGATAAAGATGAGCCGGCAAAGGCTTTCGAATGCATGAAGGCTGCTGTTTCACAGTACGAGGAGAATAAAGGGTGGAAGCCTAATCCGAGGGTGATTACTGGGGTTTTGAGTTGGCTCGGCGATGAAGGAAGTGCTGAAGATGCGAGAGCTTTTGTCGATGGGTTGATGAAAGTTGTGCCAGTGAGCAGAGAGATGTATCACGCCTTGCTGAAGGCATACAAAAGGAGCGGGAAAGAAGTGGAGTCTCTCTTGAGTGCCATGGAAGCAGATGGTATTGCCCAGAATGGGAAAACACAGAGAATCCTTGGGAGGAAAGCGGATTGAGTAGCTAAGAGAGATCCTTATAATTATCGAAATTCGAAAAATCTGTTTTGAGTGCGGATTTGCGAAATGAAGTAACTGAGAAAGGAGAGATCAATAGAGTTGAACACTTTATTGTTTGATAGTTAGATTTTCGAGAGTGGATTGTTAACTCTATGAAATTGATGTTTTCGAAGAAGCCCTTCTTCATATTGGTCATTCATTCATATGGTCGATTTTTCTTCTTTGCCCTCATAAAGTACCTCTTCTTCCTCGATCTTCTTCGTGAGTACCATAGAAAGGGAGATATAGAAGTGGATGCCGCTGCAGACGAAGAACGAAAATGCAGCTAGAGGAATGACCTCATTGACAAATATGAGAGAGGCTGATTAGCCAAGATTTGACAATAACAAAACTGAATGTCATGTCGCCAATCAAAAGTACGAAACTTGTAATGTACGGTAATCATGCTGAAGCAAACAGCAGCGATTCCAAAAATGATCAGTCTAACCAACCAGGAAAACCACACATACAGGTTCATCAAATGACAAAAACCATGGGACTACATCAGGCAGAGATCCAGGGTCCTATATGCAATTGTTTAATCAAACTCAAAACTTCCACAAGGAACCCAAGAGATTGAAGACACGTATAAACTCGATCTCTATTCGGACAAGGTAGATTTCAGCGCTCCGTCGGTCCGAAGTTCAAGGACAATGTCACAGCCTCCAACTAGTTCCCCCTTGTAATAAAGCTGAGGAAAAGTTGGCCAATTCGAGAACGCCTTCAGACCCTGCCTCACTTCTTCATCACTCAAGATATCAAAGGACCCGAAAGTTACACCTTCCTCTTTCAAAGCATTCACAACCTTGGAGCTGAAACCACATTTTGGAGCATCAGGGTTGCCCTTCATGAACAACATCACAGGTGAAGAAGAAACTAGACGCTTCAAACGATCTTCAAGTGTTTCTTTCTGAATTATTACACCTTTCTCAGACAAAACTTTCCTAAGCTCCCCGCTTTTTTGCATCTCAAGCACTATGTCTGATCCCCCGATAAGCTCTCCTTTGATGTACAGTTGAGGGTAGCTTGACCAGTTTGAATACACTTTAAGCCCTTGACGGACCTCCTCATCAGTCAGTATGTCGAAACTGCCAAAGTCAACCTTTTCTTCTTTAAGGATTTCCACCACCTTGCGACTGAAACCACATTTGGGTTCTTCGGGTTTTCCCTTCATGAACAGCATGACTGGACTCGAGTTAATCAAGCTCTCAAGTCGGGAGTCGAGGGTGGCACTCAGACCAGTAGACTCTGTGATTTCTCCACCCTTGACTGCTGTCTCGGTACCGGTACCAATTCCATGATCTCTGAAGACTTCTTTCAGTTCTCCACTCTCGTGCATGGCAATTGCTATATCACACCCTCCTAGAAGTTCACCTTGGCAATAGAGCTGCGGGAAAGTAGGCCAATTGGAGAATTGCTTCAATCCCTCGCGGACCTCGTTGTCCGATAAAATATCAAAAGTACCAAACTTCACATTCTCTTCTTTCAGTATGTTAACAACTTTCTTGCTGAACCCGCACTGTGGAGCCTCAGGGGTTCCCTTCATGAACAGCATGACCGGATGGGAATTAATCAGATCTTGGAGCCCTGTAACTGGTTGCTTTTTCTGAGTGATTGATTGAGTTGATCCATGTCCTTTAGCTAGCTCTTGAACCGTTTCAAGCACAGTGGGGCCAGCAGCCATTCCAAGGCTTGCCGGAGCAGCAGGGTACGAGGGATTAACTGAGCCAGCGATTTTGGCAACTTTGTTAGCCAAACTGGAAGGATCTGCACCTTCCAACTTGTCGAGAGTCTTACCATCCTGATGAAAATTTTGAGCTGACAATTATCAGAACATAGCACTGAATCTTTGCAAAGTATATATAAGTAACTAATCAGAGATTGAAGTGTGCATACAAAATCAGGAACTAATGATTCATAAGATCACTCCTGCTTATTTAAGAAGTGAAGTGAGTGTTCAGATAACATAACTCCCAACTTTGAAGCAACTCTAAATTTCAAACAGGTCAACAGAGTCGCAAGCTATCACTAAGTTCTCCCATATCCCTTCTCTTCTATTCCACCCATACTGATGCCATTGCTCCAGTACTTATTCCGCCATCTACTGCCTAATGATTGAATTGGCCATCGCCCTTAACTAGCAATTTTCACCACGCTAGAGCTCTGCAAGCTAACGCTAAGCACAACATAATCGAACTCACCTTCAAGAACACGAAATACGGCACAGCCGAAACGGAGTAAGCCTCAGATATCTCGGGTTGCTCCTCGGCCTCCACCTACAAAACATAAGAGAAATCCTACCAAGTCAATTCAATTCGACAAAAAAAAAAACTTGCGAACTCCATTACTGGGTCTTCCTCCCTTTGGATTGAATGATGAAAAAAGGGAGTCAAGGAAGGAAAAGAAGCCGAACCCTAAGAAAATGGACACTTGGAAAATCCGTGGAGAGATGGGAAAAGACTTGGTCCATGTGCTTGGAAGCATCGCACCAAGCCGCCCAGAAGTGCAGGATCGCCGGCGCTCCCGTCTTCAGCAATCCGTCGAGCTCCGCCTTCGACTGCAAGTCCTTCACCGCCCCGCCCATTCTTCTTCACTCCTCTTCTCCCTTTCCAGAGCTCTGCTCGTATCGACTGGGTAAAGAAATTATGATCGGAGGAAAAAAGATTTTAGAAAAACCCTAACTTTTTGTAAGTTGCGCCATTATCAATCGAGAATCGTTGGCTGTCATGCGTCAGTGAGATGAACAGTTATGTCAGAGAACAAAATCGACTCCAGTGGGCCTGGGCCCGGGCCCGGGCCCATGAAATTGTAGATCTATTGGGCCGCACCTTTTGTCTTCAAAATGGTCGTGAGGTTGAGGCGTTGAGCGCAATAGAAAGAGCTCTCTGGAGTCTGGAAAATTTCACTCTCACCCTCTCGCTCTTTTGCCGGAGCAACTGTCTTTGTCTCTCCTCCATCGCCGTTTTCCCAATCGTTGAATTGAAAGCTTGAAACTTCAGAGCTCAGGCAATCAAATCCCTCGCCAGGAAGTAGGAGGATTTTGCCTTGGGAAGTAAACAAAATGCCTCAGGTGAGGATTATTGCGAAGAACTTCATGGACATGGTGGCGGCTTTGCCCGCCATGAAACTCGACATTCTCTACGAGAATCCTTTCATCTGCGAAGCGATTCTCAGGTTACCCACTTTCTGAACTTCGCCGATCACTTACACTTGAGTTCTTAATTGATCAGGAGGAAGAAGAAAAAAAAAAGGATCAGAATGAGTAGTAAAGAGCAGTTCACAATTTTGATCTTCTGATTGATTAGGTCGCTGCCGCCATTGGCGAAGAAGTACGTCACTCAAATGCTGTTCTCGGAAGGATCAATTACTGCTAAATTGTTGGAGGAATGGGTGCTTCCTGATGGTTCGACCAAGCACAGGGTCTCCATTGATAGACTAGTCCAGCTTAGAATTTTTACTGAATCAGTGGAAAGGTTGGTGCTTTTAGCTATATATGTGGTTTCTTGTTACCTACATGAATCCATGTAGAATTAGTTTTTAGAATTCACGGAGAATAGATCAATCATTGGAAAGTCAGCAGAGTTATTTCAGTTTGGACATTCTCTGGTTATACATTGAAAATAGGATATTAGGTTTTTTGGAGTCTTGTCTACTTAATTGCTTCTGAATTGTTGTGTTTTAGTGGCAGGAAAAAGGAGAAATCTTACAGATTGAACCCCACATTTCAGGCTAACCTTCAGAAGCGTATAACTACAGGGTGAGCTATTACGTTTCCTCATCTGGATGATAATACTTCGTGATGAATTTCCGCTGACTGATTCCTGGTGTTCAGCTGCTCGTCTATTTATGTCATAGCACCCGAATTTCCTGTTGACTAAATTCTGATCTTGATGTAGATTTCATTGATGTTTAATTCAACTGATGTTAAAGTTTGTTATTACTGTTATAAATTCTTCGTGTCCTGCTTCTTTGTCTGAGTACAATATGCCCCATTCTCTTATTGAAATTGAAGTTCAATGCTACAGAGGTGTTTTGCCAAGGGAACCGATGCCTCCAAGTCTTACTGGAAGACTTCCTAGTTTGGAGGAACTTGAGAAGTATGCCCTTGAGCAATGGGAGGTGTGTAATCCTTGCGTATGACTTTTTGTACCACTTTTGCACGATAGATACTGTACTTACTAAGACTTCATTGTGGTATTTCAGTGTTTCCTGCTTCACCTTATAAACTCAGGCCAAGCTGAAAAAGTAACTAGCTTTAGTCCTTCTATGATGCGTGTTTTCCAACGAGGTCTTCTAAGTCAGAGGTATTTCTCCCATCACAGTTTCACGTATACCTTCTTGGTTATATGAATATTTTGAATTCCTGCATACTTTATACATATGGCATTTATGTCCTATCTGTGTCTTATTTTGCAGCAAAGATCCTAAATTGACTGAAAGTGGTTTCCAGTTTCTGGTACTCCTGCGTTGATTATGACTTTATTTTATTTACATAGATCAATTAACGTGGCACTGAAAGTCTTTTTCAATATCTAAATTTACAGCTGATGGAGACAAATGCACAACTCTGGTACATCATCAGGGAGTACATATCTAATTCAGAGGTATGCATAATCTAGCAATTATAAGCAGCTAGCAGTCTTGCGGTTGTTCATATCATGTGTGCCCATTTCTGGTATATGCATATGCCCTTTAGAATATTTTATTGGTTGGTTAGATTTTAGATGTATATTAAACTATTTCTTCTATGTTTTCATTTGTCTTGATGCAGGAGCGAGGTGTGGATCCAGTAGACCTGATTTCCTTCTTGTTAGAGCTCAGTTTTCATATGACTGGCAAGGTATTAAGTTTGTAATGTTGGCGCTTTCCAGTTTTTGTTTGTTTAACCTCTTTTTTTCTCAAGAGATGTAGTTTCTCATTTCCTTGTGAAAATGTTGACAATCTCTTTTGGACTTTAAAAAATTTGATATACTTCACCTCTAATCTCACTCTTTCGCTGTCTCAGGCCTATAATTTGAATACATTGACTGATGTTCAGAGGAGTACTCTCAGTGACCTTGCTGACTTGGGATTGGTGAAACTTCAAAAGGTTCTTTGAGCCTATTCTAATGCTCTTACTTGGAAAGTAATATCTGTTTGCTATTTCAGTTATTAATCTATTTGGTTCATTCCAGGGGAGGAATGATAGTTGGTTTATACCTACTAAATTGGCGACCAATTTGTCTGTGAGCTTAGCTGATTCATCAACTCGGAAACAGGTGCGTGGTAGTTTACAGAATTCTCTTTTTTCCCTGATGTATCTCCCATTGACCTTTCTTGAACTCACTATAAGGGTGGAATATGTTGACTGTTAATGATTCGGTTCGTCTTTGTTTTACTCATTATCAATTTATACTTTCTTTCTCAGGGATCTATTGTCGTGGAAACAAATTTTAGGGTGTATGAATACTCAGCATCTAAGCTGCATTCTGAAATTCTGCGTCTTTTCTCAAGGTACGCTCTCTGTCTTCTCTTCTCTTGGTTTATATGGGGCATCACACAGTTTTATAGTGAGTTCCTTGTGAACGTTTTGCCTGTTACTTGAACTAGGAGAACCTTTGTGACGTGAATAGTAATAATAATAAACTGACCACTCATGCATCCTAAATCAATGCCATGCTAATTTTACTTCCTGCAAAATCTTATGTGCTTGATATTGTAACAATAAGTTGCATTGACTTCAAAAAATATCCCCCATGTAGTCTGAATTTTGTGAAAAGTGACTCCATGTAGCTTTTTTCAATAGTCAAGAATTTAGAGATGAATTCTAGTGAATGATGCAGATAACCTCCATGTAGCCTGAGACTGAAGAAATCTTGCTCCCTTTCTTAATTTCCCTTGGTAATCTGAACTAGTTGATTTGTGTGCAGGGTAGAGTATCATCTTCCTAACCTTATCGTGGCAGCAATCACAAAGGAAAATTTGTATGGTGCTTTTGAAAATGGAATCACAGCAGACCAGGTATATATTTTCAGATCTTAAATACGTGTTCATCCTTTACAATTGGATGCTCGTTCGCTGTTCTTGACATTATTTGGCTGCGCATAATCTCCCAACTTTTGCCATGCAGATAGTGTCTTTTCTGCAGCAGAATGCTCATCCTCGTGTAGCACAGAGAACACCATCAGTTCCGGAAAATGTCACTGACCAGGTATGTGTTGAAACTTTAAAATGCTTCTCTTTCTGTCACTCAGGCCGACATGTTACTCTTAGGGTGTTTAACTGATCTGGTGAACACACACACGAAAAAGTAAAGGTTAAGAGTCGCTAATTCTACACATTACTCCAACCCAAATCAGTGGGATAAAACCGGCAATCCCTAAGGTTTACCAGAAACCAAAGAACCTATAGAAAGTGATGACTGATATTAAACGGGTTTTCATGTTTCTTTTGGCTGGATTCTTGCTGAAATTTAATTCTTCCTTCCTGTTTTATTTTACTTATTCGGTGATTTTCAGTTTTTGTGTATATTACAATTTCATGTTTTTGACCGGTAATATATAACCGGAACCCCGTTAAACACCCTATTAAACAAGTCCAGCTTTTGGTTAAAGCAGGTACTGGCTAGCCACCGTTAAATGTATGTTATAATGTTGGCCATTGACCTTCTCCTTCTGTGTGCAGTAAACCTGAGAGATTGCATATGTAAACCTCTTTTCCACTGTTCTGGCGATCTTGATGTTATTTTGACACTTTTGTCTCTCTTTGCAAATAGATAAGGCTGTGGGAAACAGATCTTAACAGGGTTGAGATGTCTCCAGCCCATTTGTACGACGATTTCCACTCCCGGGTAAAAAGCTCGAGGCAATCTCATTGTGAATAGTTAGCTTTTGTTGAGCCCCATACTAATCACTAATCAGGGTATAATTTCTTTTGAACCCACGGCAGGAAGTGTTTGAGGCAGCTTGTGACTTGGCACGAGAATGGAGCGGTTTGCTGTGGGAAGATTCAGACAAGATGAGAGTGGTTGTGAAGGCAGAAATCCACCAGAACATGCGTGACTTCATTCGCGGCCAGAGACAGTAGACGAGAGATAGTTCAATCAGCTTCCATGATGCCAGCTCTGTCACCAGAACCTGAAGTTGCCGCGGATAGTTCCAGTGTTGTGACTGCGGTCGGAACATGATTGGCCAAGGACTTGATGACTTGATGTACAGATGTTTTGTTCTCACTGTATAATGAGTTTAAAGAAGTTCAGAATTATCAAGTATGGCCTTCATTCTTCTTCCTTCTTTGCATGTATGCTAGCTTTGGAGACCTCAATATCCATATTACTACAATACTACTGTTAGAGAAGAGAAGCAGTGCTGTTAATAGAAGTACTATTATAAGAAATGCTCGACCCCTTTTGGGCAACAAAGTGGCTCCATAACCCCGTTGAAGATGAAATGTTATAAACAAGATTACTCTAAGTCAAAACTTATAAGTCTAATTCAAATATCTGTAAAAAAAACTAGGAGCAATTAGGATAAAAATTATTCAATGTTGCTGCCCAGGATCGAACTGGAGACCTTCATACTTACACATACATGACTTAATCTTTGAGACAAGCATATGACTACAGGCAGGATCAATCAGGTAGCATTCCCTCTTTCGACGCTCCATCTCCAACTAACCGACCCATCCAAGCAAACGCAATGAAATGAACAGGTCAATTCAAGGTTGTTGCGGTCATTCAACACCTTCAGTGTGTAAGACTAACGTGATAACCACTACACCACAACAACTAATTGGCTATAAATAATTACTATTGACAATTTAATCATCTTGTTCTTTGTAGCTTAATTTAACAGTGATAAATCATATCTAATCTAAGAACAATGCATTGGTTTAAATTGTATTATTATTAATAGTCAACACTCAAGAAAGCTTATGCCATGGTGCAAAGTAAATACGTAATAGGCCATATATATCCCAACCATCACACTTTACAAAGACTAGTTTTGGTCCATATCATAGTGTATGATATAGTAAAGTCATGTAACACTCAACAAAACAGTTACTTCTATCCCAAGCAAGCTCTCCTCTCAATTGGTTTTTGCCAAGGCTCAAACAAGGAATAAAAAAGTGGAAGAACTCAACTGTATTAAGTCGCAAATATCTCAGTGCTAAATACACAGACCGTCTTTCCTTTCTGTTCCATATTTCCACTTGGACCCATGGTACACTCACTAGGGCGGGGAACCAGCCATGACAAACTCTAGTAGCAGTTTCTTTCACTACAAGTAAAAGATAACCCTCCCAGAAGAAGAATAGCTACAACCTAAACAACATTACCACACCCCAAATTTTCCCTTGAACCCCAAGAAACCAAATCAAATAAAATATCGACCCAAAACTGATGCCCCCGCCAGGAACAAATGTTTCAAAAGCTACGAAGAATGTAGTCTGCCTATGGCGAACTCAACTGGAACTTTACTCTGACTTCTTTACTTTCCTCTTCATTCGGCTGAAGGGTCCAACCGTGCGGTCCATGATGTACATATAGATGACCTGGCTCCACGATTTGTACGAATCCAAGCTATCGTAATACTCTGGAGCAATCTGCTTCACCTTGTGAAGCTTGCTCCCAGGAATCCTAGGGAAATCATGGTGCTCGTTGTGGTACCCTACGTGCCAAGTCAGCAGATTAAGAGGGCCGTAGTACGAATATGTCTCTTGTTCCGGGTTGAACAAGTAATGCTCAGAGATGAAATGACCCGCCATCGGGTGCATCCCTCCCCCCACGAACGTCGACATGATCAGGTAAGCGAAGGACTTCCACCCCCAGAAGTAAACCATGGCTGCATCGAGCGAAAGCTGGACGAAGAAGTTGATGAACTCCCAGTAGCCAGGTGGTTTTGGTTTGAGGAAGAGTGGGCGGAGAGCGTAGAAGAACAGCTGGAGGAGAACCCATATGGATTTGGTCACCACATTGCGAACAATGTGAGCCTCGGCCTGGCTTGGAATGTCCATGTCTATGCCGTCCACACCTTGGAACCTGTGGCACAGTTAGTGAAATACCATAAGCACAAGTTAGACATAAATTATATGTACGTTAGTATAAGCCATTGTCACAGCAGAGACCTTCAACAACTGAACGAGAACAGCAGAGACCTTCAACAATTGTACGTTAGTGAAATACCATAAGCATAAGTTATACATAACATACCATATTACATATGTACGTTAGTATAAGCCATTGTCACAGAGATCTTCACAATTGTACGAGAACAGAAGTTCTAAACGCATAGAATATCGTATGCGAGTGCTAAATGCCTCGTTACGAACACTGACCTGTGGTGCTCAAGGTGGTATTTTTGGAAAGTGACAGACATGGGGACGCCAATGGGGAGATTGGCAAAGATTCCGAGCCAGCGGTTGTAGACCGGCGTGGAGAAGGCAAGGTTGTGGCTAAGCTCGTGGATTGCGAGGAAGAGATTGTGGTTTAGGAACGAGCCGAAGAAGTAGGCAATGGCTAGCATCTTCAGCCACCCTGAGTCGTGGAGCAATGTTGCTGTCCATAGCTGGAGGATCACAACCACAGCAATCTGCCAACAGGAAAAAGACACTAACTTTACTGAAAAACCCAATTGAAACATCCAAACGAAAATTCAAATTCCTGTCCCCGAATCTATGATTCTCATCGTTGAATCGACCGCAGAGGCTAAAAATTGACGCTGGAAAACAGAGGTTGCAATTTGAATTGAGGGAATGGAGCGACATTGCGGGCGAGATCTGAAAACCCTAGAGATAACGAGGGAGAAGAGGGAATTGCGAAGGTTGTCTCTAACCTTGGGGAAAGCCCAGGGGTCAGGGCCGAAGAGCTGCTTAATCTGAGGGTACTGAGAGAGGATCTGTTTTCTGCGGGAGGCGTGAGGCTCGTCGGTGTAAGACCAGAAGAAATCCGACGCCATTACCACGCCTTCGTCTTTCTCCTGTTCCGCCACTGATGAAATCCTCTCACCCCCTTTCCCCATTTTTGTTCTTCTTCCCTCTCTCTTTTCTCGTTCGCCTCGCTCTTCTTCGTCTGCCCTGCTTCCCGAGCCCAATGGAAAGCTCTCCTCTCGGAGAAAGATGAGATAATTGTTCAGCGACGGGAAACAGCAAAGGCTCTATCCGGTCTCCTTTTCAATGGAGGTCCTTCTTCCTTGCTTTTCGGGGTGGGGAGGATTGTTGTCTTCTTCAAGCAATTGGACGCCGCAGGTTTTTTTGGGCAAATTTGCAGATATGGAGAAGTTTTTTTTGGTATAAATAAGTGGGAGGTTGATAGTGAAACTAGCCAACAGATTTCAGCTTGGCTACTAGAGATGAATATCCCGCATTTAGACTTCTCGCATGTTCTTTATTTGTTAGTTTCTTACAAGCTTGTCAAATCGGTTTATGTGTTTCCATCGATTTAACAAGTATAATGGTTCCAGACTTTCAGACTTTCAGTTGATGATACAATTAGTTTGTATTAATTTATATCATTTTATCAAATCAGTATAAATTTAACAATAATCATTAACACCAAATGAATTTAATCATATATAAAAATATTTTTGAATTTTATTTATTTACAATCCATATTTATATTAAATGTGCAACTTAAAATTTTAAAGATAGAATTAAGCGAAGAGGAAAACAAAAAACAAAAAGAGGCACATTTCGCAAAGCAAAGAAAAAATGACAGTGTGTGACTTCCAATCCAGTAACCTTGTAGCAAGTCGATCCAATCAGTGGCGGAGCCATAAATCTAAACGAGAGGGGGGAGCTAAAAATCTACGCGTAGAGAGCTCGAATTGATGAGGGGGGCTAAAGTCTTACCGACTATTATATTTCTCCAAATTTTATCCAAATTTACATGTAATTTTGCGTGATTTTGCGAATTAAGGTGGCTCCACCACTGAATCCAATGAATATGTAATCTCATCTTTTTCGCAAGATCAGGGTCAAAACGAGTCAACCGAACGGACAACCTTGGTTTATAATGACCCTCAATTAAAAAAAAATCAAAAAACGCATACGGAAAACAAATTTTATTTTCCGTTTGGGCTGCATGATCCATGTTTTCTGTTTTAGTGAGCCTGATAATGTTCAACATAAGCTTCATGAAAGGCCCAGTTGAGCTCCCCCTCTAGCACAATGATTAATAAGATATCAAACTCTTTGAGCCCAGGAAAAATATATCCTCGGCCTACCACTTCAATTGGACTTCTATCATCGGACACACTTTAGCCCAACAATGAAAGCCCAGTCGTTTGTCATCCCCGTTCAACCAGAAGGAAGGACGTTGAAGGAAAAGTGCGCGGCAGCGGAGAATAATCTCGTTGACTGTTTGACAGCAAATAAGGACGTGGCAAATCACGAGCATGTCATTCATTATTCGCTCTGACTCAGATCTCTGTCAAAATATTAAAGTTTAAACCGTTGCTTTTGGATAAGGTGCCCCATCACCAAACTAATCTGCTTTAATAATTTATTAATCCAAATTAATATAGAAGAGTTGGTGAATGGTGAACACATTAAATTCAAATATGCATTTTTTTTATTATCAATATAACTAGTCTTACCATGAACGTCATAAAATTATATCGAATATAAGAAAAATGGGATTAGAATTTATTCTAATTTATCATGGTGTAATTATGATGAGAGTCTTTGAACACTCATATTGAAACGAGACTAAACCGTTCAGTCAGAGCAATAGACCTCCAATTGATTAACATCATAGGGTTGGTTCATTTGCTTAGACCAATAACAATGGACCGAATAATTTTTAATGGACAAATATGAACCAACTGCAACTAGTCGCTCTAACTGTTTTACTAGTTCCAATATTTACCCAAAGAAAGCCGAAACTTCAACTTATCAATTATGATTAATGATAATTTTATATTTTTATAGATAGTTATTTGACGATTTTATACCGGGTAATTTATGAAACGGAAGGAAAGAGGTACCTTTTTTTTGAAATTATCATAATCTATAAACAGATTGTACTACGATAAGATAGGTGGGGAATTTAATTTGATATCCAATCTATCCTCAGATTAAAAGTGTAGTAAGATCCAGGGATTCGGATAAGACTTCCACGTCATCGTATGACATTATAAAATGTCACTACCTTTCTCCCCAAATTCAGCACAATCCATTCTCATTTTTACTCATCGTCTTCAACCTTCATTCAACCAATCTTTCCTTCCTTCTCACCCTTGTTTGATTCCTCGGGGAAATTTGCAGTCGAAGCCCCCAAAAAAAAAATGTTGGCCATCTTCAAGAAAGGTGTGGTGAATCCACCTCAGGAGCTCAACAGCCCAGCCTACCCTCCTTCCTCCTCCTCATCTTCCTCCCCGCGGCCACCGAAGCTCCCGCACCAGATCGTCGACGAATTCCTCTCCTCCAACCCTTCCGATTCCTTCTCGATCAAGTTCCGCGACAATGCCCTGCTCGCCTGCGTCCCACGCCGCAGCTCCCTCGGCGCTCACCAGAGGTTCGTTCGCTCTAGCCTCCCCTCTCCTCTCTTCTCGAATCCGATTTGAAACTCTTAATTAATTGATTGGGGAAATGTTTCGCTGCAGGGTGTTCTGCGGAGTGAACGACGTCTACTGCGTGTTCACGGGCAGCTTGATCAACCTCTGCAGCTTGAACAAGCAGTACGGCCTCTCCAAGGGCACCAACGAGGCAATGTTCGTGATCCAGGCGTATCTCACCCTTCGTGATCGCGGCCCTTACCCTGCTCACAAGGTCCTCAAGGACCTCGAGGGCGAATTCGGATTCGTCCTCTACGACTCCAAGTCGGGCCGGGTCTTTGCTGCTCGAGTAAGACCGCTGCCCCTGCTGCTGCGATCACGTTTCTGTCAATCGATCTCTCACCTGAAAGTAAAAATGTATTCATTTCTTTTCGATCTTAATGAATGCAGGGAGCCGGCGAGGAGGGAGTGGGGCTGTACTGGGGAATAGCAGCCGACGGCTCCGTCGTGATTACAGACAACTTGGATGGGATGAAGGGGAGCTGCGGGAAGTCGTTTGCTCAGTTCCCCGCCGGGTTCATGTTCGAGAGCGAGGAAGGGCTGACGAGCTTCGAGCATCCGTGGAGCGAGATCAGAGCCATGCCGAGAATCGACAGCGAGGGAGTCATGTGCGGAGCTGATTTCAAGGTCGATCTGCAGTCCAGGGCTGCTACTGCTGGTAGTACAATGCCGCGAGTCGGCAGCGAGGCCAACTGGGCTCTGGGCGGTTCACAAGCCTGAAAGTTCATTTCTTCCTAGCGACTTTGATGTAGAATCTGAGATCTATCTAACTTCGAATGTTGTTTCTTTGATTATGTTCTTTTTCTGTTGTTGATGATGTGCTGTTTTAGTTACGAGTCTTGGGTTTGTGATGATTTCATGGTGGAAGAGAGAAAAAGGGATTCGTCCCTGTATAATGTAAATATGTTCTATGGTTCCATTGAATGATTTTTTTCACTCCGGAAAGATGAGCTTGGCTTTCATTATTTGAGCTGTGCTCTCCTGCACGTTTTGCCACTCTAGATTTGGGATCTGCAGTAGCAACTGTAACATATTCGTCGACGAAAGTGTTTTTGCGTAAATGGCTGGTCACATACAGCATCAACTTCAACAGTTTCCAGAATACAAAGTAGTACGTACCTTTCTTCGAAAAATGAGACGAGAAACAAGTTTTACAGGAGAAATCATGCATTTTCAGGGAACAGGGACAATGTAGCTGATAAGCCCATACGACCTCTCAATGGAGTCTGTTTCTACTATCTATCATATCATCTGAGTTTCTACAAGATCTATCTATGTTGTTACATCACAGATCATACAGCTCCAGGATGGCCCTAGTCTCCTGGAAAATCGACCGACGTTTAAGACTGCGAGCATTTATTACAGGCTACAGGTATACGAAACAAGCCTTAAACGTATATACAGATCCAAAGACCGGAGAGTATAGGTTAGATTCCACAGCTGCATTCAGAGAAGCTGACTATATGTAAACTACCCATGTACCTCTGATGGAACAGACTGGCCAGAATGTCGGTAAATGGACGCGGGTCAAAAGATAATCTCAAACTACACGACCCGGACCCATGTACCCCCGCACATAGGACAGCCATACGCCCATCGACTGATCCACCACGTCTCACGATCACTTGGATTACCTGGGTTCATGGCACTCGGTGAAGTGAAGGCCGAAGTCTGTCTCAAACATCGTATGCACTGCAATCCAAGAATACAACACAGAATTGAGTTTAATCAGAAACAGTAGCCTTTCATCTGGTGCAGAAAAACACAAGAACACAGGTAGCAAAAGCTTAAACAAATGGACACCCAACCCAAGTATCCAATTGCTAGCAGGGCAGTCATCATGGGAGAGGGGTGTAGGATAAATTTGCGGAGAAGGAAAATGGGGAAAAAAGAATCACCTTATACCAAACGCCTTCAAGACCAGTCTTCCAAAGAGCGGTAACCACGTCCCTTCGTGATCCCATTATCCCAAGATAAGCTCCTAAGCCGACTGATGTGTTCAAGCCAAAGGCAGCATCTCTCTCAGACAATCTACGCCTCTTAGGCCACAGGCCGTGAGCCCCGTAGTGCACATCACAATTCTCTAATGAGCTGAAATCTAATAATGAATCCGGAGAGCTGCCGAGTTTGGGAGTTTCCTCTGGTGAATTCAAGTCCTCTGGATCGGACCATGGACCACCAAACATATTACGCCTGTGCCACTCTTCAGAAGGTGGGTGAAGTTCCAACTCACGTAATAAGAGGCCAGCGGCATCAGCACCTCTAGGCCTGGGCATATTCTACAGACAAGAAAGTGCACAAAGGCAAAGAGAAGCCCAATTCAATCGCTACATAACAGATTATTTGATCACGTGAAATGCCTAACTGTAAACTTCTTAGGTAATACCTGCATGTGTGGGCCAAGAGATGCTTCCACAACTTCCGGCAAGACAGTATAATTGCCATCGATATAATGGAGTCGCACCTGGATGTTGTTACTTCCCACCTGTGAGACCGGCAAAGGATGTGCTAGAGCTGCTGTTCGTCTACAAAGATCCATGAGAATGAGAAATAGAACCTTGACCTGAGACAAACACGAGAAATTCATTATTCCAATCATTCACGGCAACAAAAAAGTGGCTGACCGGTTCTGGTTTTCGGTTAACCAGAGACCAAAATGGTAACTGGTCTTTAAATGGGTCTTGGATTTTCAGTTACAAGCAAAGATTAACAAAAAATCAACCAAACTTTAATTTACCAAATCGTATAAAACAGAACCATGGATCTAGAGACCATAGGACTGCACCCCTTCTTATATCGGGCTAGTTTACTTGCAAAGCAAAACTCGGGGACAGAGTGTAGAGTTCTGTGGTGCATGAAAATTACTGCAATTTTTAGGTTGAGTTGCCGACAGGTATTCGGTGGTACAGGAAAGAGCACAGGTGCAGTTATACAGCAGGAAATATGATTCCTGGAAAAGGTTCAAGTAGCCCTAACTGAGTGAATTCAACAAATTCCTGTCTGTCAGGAATCCACGCAATTTTGTTTGTTTAGTACAGGCTATTGTTTGTAGGAGTATAGTTGTACATGCTATTGTTGTTTGAGTTAATAGAAGGTTGGTATAGCTTTCATTGATGTAAGAACTGTCTAATCCTTGTTTTCTGGTTAACCGTCAGGATTACCATTTTGACTCATTGGCTAGTGGTTGTTTTAGTTAACCCTTAATGTAAAGGTTCAGTTACAGTTCTGAATAATGATTCTTTAAAGACTTTTTCAGTTCAGTTAACTACCCCCTAAAGAAAATATTTGAACAGGTGGATTTATCATAAATGACAAGTAGACCACTAGCGAAAAAGAATATAACAATATCAAAAGCTAGCTCCCAGCTTACCTCTTCAAAGGTGTATCCCTGACCAGCATTGCCACAGCCTAGTCTTGAGCGACCAGCAGGTCCATCTTCAACTCCTTTGGCTCCAGGCATGAGCTGACCACTTCGAGCTGCTGCTGGACCTTCGTCTGATCTAACCATAGCAGTCGCTACCGGTTTTGAGGAAGCAGAATTGGTTTCCTCAACCTTGCCAGCTGGGACACCAGGCGGCTGAGGTTTTTGCGTACTGGAATCATTACTTCTCTGTGATACCCCTATAAAGCGAGGAAGCTGTGTTCGGCGAAAGAAGAAACAGAAGAGCAGAAGCTGGCATAATCTATGAACAAAATGGCAGTCTCCAATTAGCCGAACAGCTGGTGTTCCAGGGAATGTCCCAGTGTTAATGCTTATGGGCATAAAAGGAGCTGGACCATTGATAGGGTTTGGAGTTGAAGCAGGCACACCATCTGTTGTGCTACTAATCTTAGCAATAGCACCTTGCACCCAGGCCTGCACCTGAGTGGTTCCAGTTGAATTTGTTGTGCCAGTTTGACCACCTGGAAAATACTTTGAACTATTAGAATATAAGCAATGTACACAGCAACTTGAAGTAGAGCATGTTTACTGGCTACATACTTTGAACTACTGTAGATTCCGATTTTATCAACAAATGCGAATAAGGGAAAACACCTTTCAAAGAAAAAGAACAAGGAAAAACAGCTATAAAGAACCGTAGCATCGTACAATCTTATAAATAGACAGACACAGTTTCTAGAAGATTTGCTTATTTCTTAGGGTAACAATCGAGAACTTTAAGATTAATTCTTGACACGTATACAGAAAATTCATTCATGCAGCAATTTTTTTTTTTTTTTTTTTGGTATGGTGTTCACATCTCTAAGCATGTGGCTTCTCAGCGCATAAATGTGCAGTCAGTTTAACAGTTTAACCAACAATTTTCATCATAAAATGTGGTTTGGAGTGTACACTAACCCTGAGTTGTTGCCTGGGATGCAGAACTTGGAGTAGGACTAGTTACCATATTGCGATTGCTGCCTGTTCCTGCAGTAACGGCATGGGTAGCTAATGTGCGACAGAAACTTGCATAGCGCCGCAACCGAGTGATGAAATGTGATGCTAAATCAAGAATTGCGTCCACATATGCCTACATCAAGGTATGATGTCAGTTCCCAAAAGATGAGAGAGAGAGAGAGAGAGAGAGAGAAGGGGGCATTTAAATTGAAATCTACTTAAAGGACCAAGGCAAACAACAGTAAATGATACAAGACTTCGAGCTATAATCAATAAAGCATTTCCCATTGTAGAAAAGCTTCTTGGGCTAAGCTTGATGGAAGTAAGACACATACTCAATGACATGACTGACTACAATAAGGTTGATGGAAGCAAGACACATTAAAACTGAACATGTTGTGCTTGTGTGCTTCAGACAATGATGTTCAGTTGTTCACAAGCACACCATGTGTTGGGGGCTTTGTTCAAGATTTTACCAATACAAAGAAATCAGAACGGGTAGAAATGTCAGGGCAGGGCTTCAACAAACCTGTATGCTTGGAACAAGGCTTGGATCAACAGCCATGGCTTCGGGATCAATACCAGATAATGTCTCACCAGATGCCTGCCATGGTTCAGATACTAGCGCAGAAGGATTTATCAAGGCTGATTCAATGCCTTTGCCGAGCATATCAAGCAGTAATCTAGCTTGCATATCAAGAACCATGGCCCTAACCTCCTGGGCATTTGTACCTTCCAATAGCCTACATTTTATCCTGTCAAGGCTCTGCAAGAAAAGTATACAAATGGAAGAAGTACAAATTAACTACATCTTATGTACCAAACATTCAGTTTAGAAAACACTAGCAGTCATCGTCGTTGATTATCCAAAACTACATACAAGTAGAAGAGCAAGCAAATAGAGAATGCATGAATATGTATGAAATGATCAATAGCGTTCATTGGCATAGTTAGTAAAATTTTGCTGCTGACATCCCCAGAATTGCAACTAATCAATAACAAATGATAAAACAAATAAAGCAACATGCTTGTGGTGCCAATGATCAAAGGAAACATGTGACTCTGAAAGAAACTCCAAAGGACTAATATTCTCACTATAGCAGTCTACTAGGGAAAATAGCATTGACTGTTTTGAAAGACACAAAGTCAAAACAAACATACCGGCCCATACTGTTGCCTGTGCTGAACAGAGGGAAGAGAGTGAAAATCCCCATCCAAAACAGCAATGACACTGTTGAGCGATACTGGAACCAAACCAAAAACATCATTACTAACAAAAGATAAGTACAGAATGTACTGTATGATCAGATTTTTATGCACTCAAAAAAGAATTTTCCAGCTAGACAAAAAACAATTACATGTTATCAGTCAGAATTGCTAAAAACCCAAATATCTTACCTATGCCATCCTCGGCAGCACTCTGTGTACATCCAACAGCATCCCACCAATCAACTCCAACCAAAAGGCTCCACCAAAACCTGCTCTGACAAAAACAGAATCAGCAGGTGTTTTTCAAAGATTAGGTGATGTGCAGCAAAATCATAGATACGAGGA